AAACCTGCAGGGAGGCACAGAATGGCCTGACATTCTTGGGTTTTAGGGTAACAAGGGAAGGCTGGGAAAAACAGTGGGGATATTATGGATATCTAGGTTATTTAGAATATTACAGGCAGTGAGACAGGGCGGGGCCTGCAAAGGTCAGTGTAGAAGGTAACTGTGGCTGGAGCCCCATTCACTGAAGGCCAGTGTTAGGGATTAAAAACTGATGGTCAACTTAAATCGGCATGGCGCTGAGTGTAGATGGTCCACCTGAGGAAAGTTGCCAGCATAAATAGAGACATGGAGAGAAGTTAGGCAATGTGGGTTTCTCTAAGTGTTGCTGTTTGAGCTGTTGGTTCTCCTGGAGGACCTCATCATGACTAACTTCCCCAGTGTGAGTTCAACCATTGTCATCAGAGGAGCTTGGGAGGAGCTCGGGCTGTGGTTCACTTTGGGGGAGCTCTGGTTCTTACATTGAGCATTGCTTCCTGGCTCCAGAGGGAAAGACGTGTGCCGTTTAACATCCAGGAGAAACTTGTCATGCTGGTTTTCTGATATGTACTCGTCTGTTCTTATCATCGGAGTAACCTGGGACCTCTGTGTTGCTGAGGATGGCTGTGGTGCTTTTCAGGGGAGCCCAGGTCTTTGTTATCAGTGTACTTCTTGGCTCCAGTGTAGAACCCTCAGCCTACCAGCACAGCTCTTCATCTCACTGGCATAGACTTTCTAGCTTTCACCACTGACCTTTGGCCCTTCCCAATGCAGATCCGTAAAACAGACTGGCATGAGTCCTTCTCATGGGCTCTAGACTTTCAGTTAGACTCATGGGAGGCACCGTCATGGGCTCTAGGTTTTCATCTGGACTCATGCAGGACACTGCTATGGGATCCAGGCCCTTGGCTGAATATTCTGGGTCTTTAGTGTTGCACTAGATTTCCTGCACATTCTTTTGTTTAACTCGGGGTGACCATCACAAAATATTATAAATTCTGTGTCTTGATTATAATTGTTCTTCTGACAACCCCTGACTGTGGTAGCTTGGCATAAGTGACGCCCTGCATCTTGAGTCCTGCATTTAACTAGTGCCCTGTATTTGACCCAGAAAAATGGAAAATTACTCAGGGCACAAGTCCCATGAGAAGAGCAGAAAGAGTTGTACCCACAGGAGAAAAATTAACCTGCTCAACAAAGAAGCAGATACAGGTGTCAACCAAAAATTAATGTAAGATTCTAGCTAAATTATTTCCAGCAGGATGTCTTTTGTGATTCTTTTAAAAACTCTAACTTTCCAGTTCGGTGCCACTTGTTTGGACCCTGAAACAGGAGGCTCTGTATATGAGTGGTCCTGAGCTCAGTTAATTAAATTTCAAATTTATCAGTTTGGCAGCTTGAATTCTTATACTGTTGGCTCACGAACCCACCTCACTGACTACCACAGCCAGGCTTCAAGAAAAAGAAGATTCCATTCATATACTTTCCCTAGGGAGTAAGAACAGTGATCGATGTTCTAAATAAACAATAATTGCCTCGGGTGGGGGACCTAAACCTCCTCAACCCATCCCTTCCAGGAAAGTCCTTGTGGGGAAGGGGGGGCTGTGTGCTTGCTACATGACTTGCTTCCCCTTTGATACCCATTTAATCGATACTAGCTGAGCGACTATACTTGTAGTCTTATTGGTTGACCATACTTTTGTCCCACCTTGTGATCTTTCATTGGATCAATATTACCTAAGCAAGTATATTTGTAATCTTACGGTTGATGGTAGTTTTGTCCCACCTTAGAGCTCAACTTATGGTTCTGCTCTATAAAACTTCCTTGAGAAGTGGGGTCCCAGCCACCCCACCGAGATCCCTTCTGTCTCTCTTAGACAGAAGCTTTTTCTTTCAATAAATATTTCCTACTCTTAAACTCCTTTGTTCTTCGAATTAATTCTTCAATTTTAGAGACAAAACTCAGCATATCACACATCTAGCAGGTTGTGAGTTACACTTTCTGTATTTGGAGGTCCAGTATCAACCCTGTATCAGGAACAGGGGTGGTAAGCAGGACCCCGCAGGGTCTCTCCTATGTTGGTTAGAGTGCTTTCTTAAAGGGTTCTGAGGAGGATGTATTGGTGGCGGTTGAACTGGGAGGGGACCAGTGAGTGTAAAGGCTGGGGAAGGAGCTCTGGATGGGACAGGCAGTAGAGGACAGCCACCTTTAATGACCATGTGACTGTTGCTATGATAGTTTTTATGTGGCCTCAGTTGGTGATGGGGGGATTTCTGTGTAATAAGAAAGCCAGGAGGAAGTTAGGAAAGTTTTGGGTCAGAGCTATGAGTTTTTGTCTGCTGTGAAGTGGTTTTCTGGGGGTGACTGGGTCTCAATTATGTGTCTAGAGTTAGAGCACCTGGCACCCACTAGAAAAAGTTATCTATGAACTGGCACTGGCTGCCTGTGGGATGGGATTTTGATGCATACCAGAACAGTGGTTGAGATCATGGTGATGGAGGTTTGAAGGCAGCTGCAAATGATACCCTGAGCTGGAGGACGGTGGTGGAGGTGGGGTATGGGTTTGATAGAGGCATCATAAAGGAGTCTGGCTAGGCTGAAGTTGGGAAACCAAAGATGGGGAAAGCCAGCTAGGATGAGAAATGAGAGCATTTTCTGCTTTTTTGTGAGGCATGAATTGATTGAATGAGAGCTTTGTGATTTGTGGAGATGGCCTAGAAGGTTGTTTAAAATGTAGCCCCAGGTACTGACGTATTTCTTTCTTTCTTTCTTTCTTTCTTTCTTTTTAACAGGACTTGAATTCAGGACCTTGCACTTGCCAGGCAGGCACTATGCCATTGAGCTGTATTCCCAGCCCCAGCGCAGGTACTGAATAGTAATATGGACTAACTGTGTCCTGGAAGGTAAGGCAGGACAACTATAGGAAGAGAGAAGGAAAGAGGTATCAGACAGTCTTTGGTAGAGAGGCTCCAGATCAAGATGACATATCGTGGCTGAGAGCCTAGCTGAATAAGTGGGACTGTCCCTAATGCCTTGGAGGAAGACTTTCCTGGTGAGCTGAGTGCCACAGCTTGAAGTGAGGGTCAGTGTAAGTGAAGGCAAAGGGATTTTGAGTCATGGTAGAGATGAGGAATTGGAGGAAAGAGAAGGGTAGAGTGTGTACAGAGGGAAGGAGAATTTGGATGATGACCATTGTGCAGAATTTAAAGAGGGCCTGTCCCAGGAGGAAAACAGGGCCCAAACCTCCTGCCCTGAATGAGAATAACATTTAAGGGTGCTATCACGGATAGATGAAAAGGGTGGCTATCAACTCTTACTACTGATAGTGAGGATTTAACAGTGGGTTCCAAGAATGTTCACAAAGAGGAGTTAAGTGACCCCCATGTGAGGAAAACTGAGACTGACTCGTGATCAGAAGAGTTACCCTGGACTCTTGTGTGGGATAGGCTGAGGACACAAGAGTCACAGGCACCGTTACTCTTTAGCTAGAACAGGTCCTATTAAGGCAGCAGGGCATTGCGCTGGAGTGGATGACTCCACCCTCGTTTTGGAGTGAGGACAGTGCCTTTTCCAATCCTCCTGTAAGGTGCACTGAAGTTAGGGTTTTGTGGGCATTGCTTCGCCCAGTGTCCCATTTTGCCCCATCAAAAGCAAGGCCCAGAGGGGTTCATGCTTTTGTTTAAGTTGCTGACCAGGCTGGAGTGTTGTTGTGAGAAGATGGAGGATAGATTCATTAGAGGCTTTTCAGAGACCTCTTTGACAAGTTTTTCATTTTGGTAGACCCTGAAGGCAGCAGTCATGAGATCGGCCTCAGGGGTTTGAGGACCACCCTTGAAGTCTTTGAGCTTTGTCCTCATGTCAGAGCCCAGAGTGTCCAATGGGAAGAAGGACAACTGAGACTGAAAGGAGCATCCTCCTCCCAGATGAAGACCAAAAGCTGGAATGAAGTACCAACAGCAGCCGATGCCCAGGCAGGTCTGCTGTATCTGGGCTGAAGCTGGAGATTGGGCCTAATTAGGATTTAGGATGGCTGACCAGAGGGACAGACATGCTGGACTGCTCCCCCCAAGACTTACCCCTCTGTCTTACAGGGCAGAATTCTGGTGGAGATGTTAGAAAGAGATCTCTGGTGGGCTGGAAGCAATGAGGTCACTGGTTCTTATCACCCAGGAGGCTGAGGTGAGGGAGCCAAATGCCAGAGCAGGGGCTCTAGACCGACCCCCCCCCAGACGCTCATCACCAGATGTTAGATAAACGGTGATGATCCTATAAAAGAACATAACACCAGCCCAAATTTGGGGTTCCAGCCAGAACCTCCTGGAGAGGTCAAAGGATAGTTCAAGTCCAGTCTATTGAGTTGGGTCTTTTACGGATAGGGTTAAGGGGGTCAGTGGGACTGGCTTGGATGGGGTGAAGAGAAGGGAGGTGTGAGATTAGGGAGTGGAATGTCTGAGTATGTGCCCCCATAGCAACTGCTAACGTTCTGCTGTGGGAGTCTTGTGACCTAGCAGGTGGGGTGAGAGTGCCCGTCCAAGCAAAGCAGGCATTTTTCGCTGGTTTCAGATGGTTGGGAACAGGAACACACTCGGGCAGCTGGGGTGCCAGGAAGGGATGGGGGGTAGGAGACAGAGGTCAGATCTATCACTGCCCTCCCTAGCTTCCTCTCTTCCCCATTCTCGGTGTAACTGACCTTTGCCCAAAGCTCCTGCCGCGGCCCCTGGCCCACCCAAACACACTCCGGCTGGGCGAACACCTCACCAACTATTTGCAGAGAAGCGAAAATCGCCGGAGAACTTTCTCAGCCTCCTGCCCCCAAACTCACAGCACCTACTACTCACCCCCAACCTTCCTGCTGCCCTCCTATGTCACGAAGTGGGGAGGGCAATCCCTGGTGCGAAGGCAGCGGGATAGCGAGGAGCCTTCCACACACTCGCCCGGGCCGGGGCCGGGACCCCCGCGGCTCTTGTCTGACGAGATCTCTGCTCTCTCCTCCCTTAAGCCCCACTCCACCTGCGTCCAGTACCTCGCAGATCTGGGGAATGTAGTTCTCCTTGAAGTAGTTCTTCAGTGCGGGTTCAGCGGTGCGTAGCGAGGCCATGACTAAGGGGGACAGAGAGGCCGCTCTCTGCGGGCTGGCGGCGCTAATGCCGCCGCCTCCTCAGACTGGCCTTCTGACAGGAGGCGTTGCCGGGCAACCACAAAGCGGAACGCAGAACTCGGTTCAGGGTCTCCCGGAACGAGGGGCGGGGCTAAAGGGGGGCCAATAGGCAGGCCTAGGGAGCGGGCCAATGGGCAGGCAGAGAGGGAGGGCCAATGAGCAGGCCGAGGGGACCAGCCAATAGACAGGCAGAAAGCGAGGGCCAATGAGCAGGCCTGGTGGGCCAATGAACAGTCGAGGGGGCGGGCCTCTCAGGTGACATACAAAGCCCGGGAAGAGGGCGCTCGCGTTTAGCCGGGCGCTTCCGGGGGTTAGAGCTCAGAGCCGAGCTATCGCGCGGCTCAGCATGGGCAGTGCACGAACTGCAGGTTGGGTGGCGGCTGGCCTGATCGTGGGCGTGGGCGCCGGTTTCTACCTCTATCGCCTGTCGCGTGGCCGGCAGCGCACCAAGCGCGGGGTGCGCCCTTCAGGGTCCGCAGGTGTGCAGGGACCGGGCGGGTGTGGGCGCAGGTCTCGAGCCAGACCTTCCTGCCCGCGATCGGCGTGACAGCGGAGGCCTGGCCAATGCTGATGACCTCTCACTTGCTCTCTCGGGCCTTGGGTCGCCGAGCGATGCCGACGGCAAAGCGGGCGGGAACCGGCCGGATACAAGCTGCAAGCGGCACCCGGGCGAGGAAGGCGGGCGGCAGGGAAGGCAGGGCCGGCTGCTCCAGGTGGGCGGGTTTCTGGAAGAACAACTGCACATGCCACAGCCTCCGGGCCAGGATTAGGCTTCTGTCCAAAAGTTAATGGGTGCAGTCGGAATGCTAACGGTCTGCAAGCTACTCCGGAGGGTATTCAGGTCAGGGAAGATGATGGGGAACCCGTCAAAAATAAAATCTGCCAGCCAAAAAACTTTTCCACAAATGTAAAAGAACCAAACATCACAGGCGGTCTGTTTAATACAGTACCAAAATCGGAGTTGACACCTCTTTGTGTAGCTGGGCACATAGAATTCAAGTTAAATGGTAATTTTAAGGGGAATAAACAACACTTGGCTATGCATAGTTCACTCTAAATTCGCTGGTCAGTTAGAATAGTTATTTCCATTGGCTTAATGCCTTTATCCAGAGGCAAATAAGGCATCTTTAGGACTTTATGATATGCAGGTAGAATATGGAAGCAGGTGTCTCAGTTAAGCTTCCTCAGAACTGAAGAGATTGAGGCTTTTTTATGCCGTTCAGGCTGGCTCACTTTGTAGCTTTGTGCTCTAAGGACCCTCCAGCCTCAGCCTCCCAAGTGCTTTGATGACAGGTGTGCACCACCATGCCCTGGCTCTCGGGCTGTGTTTTAATGTTCACATTTCAGAAGCTTCCAAGAAATGTGTTGGGTTTTAAAACTGGCATTTGTTTGACTTACCTTTATACTAAAAGGTGAGATAAAAGGTTTATAAATGCAGATTTGCTCATAAAAAGGCTCTTAAGAAAGGGGGATCAAGGTGTTTCTTTCCCGTTGGTTAAAATATGCATTTACACTTAAAAGCCTAATTTGTTGTCTTTGTGTCAGATATTTCTGCAGGGCAGGCACCTAGATACCTTCTTTCTTACACTAACTCTGTCTTGATGAATAGTGACTGAGTCTTTAAAGTTTCAGTTCCCACAGTCATTGTCATCTTAGGTTAGACAACTTAAAAATAAGTGGCTCGCAGTCCATTCTTTTTGAAGCTACATGTCTATCTTTGAAGACTTGAGAAATAACAATTTTATTGTCATTATCCTTAAGTTTAAAGGGTCTTTTCTTCTTGTCTTAAACTTTTAAGAAATGCTTTCCTATACTATTTTGTAATTCCTATACTATTAAGACTGTTTGAAAGCATTGAAAAAGATGGAAACCATCCCAAATCACAAAACAACCTGATACCAAAACCTGTCTCAGGAATAAAGATAAAATCTTAAGATATTAGCAAGTCAAATCCATCAGAGGATTAAAGAAGTCATATACCAGAATTGTGATCAGAAAAGCTCTGCTTAGTGCAAATCCTGTTCCATAATTAACCTATGCTCTGTTTGACTGGGTTTGCCTGAGTTTTAGAAAAAAACAAAATGCTGTTAGCATTAAGGGTCCATATTATTTGCATGTAGTAGCTTACTAGTAGACGTGAACCAAGGAACTATTGGCTAATTTCCTCATATCCAGGACCCTTATGATATAGGGAAAAGAACATCCCAATGTACTGTATGTCCAGTAGGAATTCATGTTCTCTAAAATCAAAGAATGAATTTTAGGGACAAAGAAGGTTAAGAGCAGATGAGAGGAAAAAAACCTGCTGTATAGAGAGAAACAGAAGGGGTCCTTGTGTGGGTTGCCAATAACTCTGTCTTTCTAGGGACTTTTATAGAGCAGAACCATGAGATGAGACTGGTCCAAGGTGGGAAAAACGTGGGAACTGGCAAGGCAGGCTGGCATGAAGTGGCACAGAACTGTGATCAGCCAATAAGATTAACTTCAGGTAAAATTGACCAAATCAGGAATAAATGGGGAAGCAAATCACATAGTAGGCAGGCGTGCTTAACAGCAGTGACTTTTCCTATAGGGGGTTGGGATTGTGACTCCTGACTGCCTCAGACTGATCCATACCTACTTAGAATATCAATCTCTGATGTTTATACTTAGGGTATAGTTATATTTGTTTTGCCTTTTGTCTTGAGATCTGGCCCTCAGCAGTTGTGTCTGTCTCCTCCAAGGCTGCAGGGTATCTGTCTGGTCTGCCTGGCCTTGTCTGACTGCCTGTGATATGTCTGTCTAATTCAGCTGCCTGTAACACTTCGTTTGCCATCTATACATTGAGAATGACAATAGTATCTTCATCCTAGGGTCGCTCGGGGATTAAATAAGACAAAGTGTGTAAAATTGCACCTAGCATCAGACTATGTGCTCAGTATTGGTTTTTTGGTTTGGTTTTTTTTTTTTGGGGGGGGGGGCGGTACCAGCGATCAAACTCAGAACCTTTTGCTTGCCAAGCAGACACTGTGCCACTCGGCTATATTCCCAGCCCTGGTACTGTTTTTTAAATGTTAAAAACAGCTCATGTTGATTTTAGATGAACGTTAAATAACTATCTTCCTATCCAGAAGATTTAACCAATGGCTCATACAACGATGTCCTGAATGCTGAACAGCTTCGGAAACTCCTTTACCTGCTTGAGTCAACTGAGGATCCTATAATTACTGAAAAAGCCTTGGTCACTCTGGGTAACAGTGCAGCCTTTTCAACCAACCAAGTAAGTACTGTCATTCAGCAGGCAAGCTCCTTCTGTCCAAATACACTGGCAGTAATTGTGTGGATGTCACTTAACCTCTCAGAGCCTAATTTCCTCTTCTATACAATGCACATCTACACAGTGTAGCTACATATGCCTACAATGCAATGTTTGTTTACTACTGAAAGCACAGCCTAATGACAGTGTGATTAATAGTATGTTTCTAGATGCCAACTGGTCATGGGCATCACATAGTGAGTCTGTTCAGCATTTAACAGTGTGTGGCCTTTTAAGTTACTTAAAATTTATCAATGGAACAGTGGAAGCTTAAGTACATACTTTAAATTGTAGCTTTTAGCCGCATGGTTCTGGTAACACTAAACCAGTATGAATGGCTTCAACAGGTACAGATTCAACAAGACTAAAAAGCTTAATGGGAACACTCCCTTCTTCGTGGAGAACAAGGACAAATATTTACATAATTCGTTCTCACCTGTTGCTCTCTGTTAGCCTTGTCAGGAGCTCAGAATTATTTGGAATTTATACTTTCTTTGAATCTAGTTTTCTCCAAATGGCACACTTTACTGTACAGCTTTAGAGGTCTTTAGAAAGATGCAGAAAATGTTTGTGCATTATTCTGCACTTTCAGTTGCAAATGACAAAATATTCCTGAAATATTTTAGGGAAAGTACTGAGATCACTTGCATATCTAAGAATAGGATTGGTTTAGGGCACAATTATCTCCCCCTCCCATACTGTACCGTCCCCCTTTTTCCCCTCTCCCCCTGACTGTACTTGTGATTTCCTGTTTTTACATATCGAGCCTTGCCCACAAAGGGATTTGCTTCAAGGGGTAGAAGGAAAACTCTCAACCTCTCATGCATTCATCCCTGTAGCTCATGACCCAAAAGGTAGTGTTCATCAGGATCAAGTGCTGACCCGTCCGATCAGTCTCTAAGCAAAAGACTCCGGACCCTCATGAGTGAGGCCTGGCTCACATATCCTGCAGCCAGGTAGCAGGGATGGACATAAACTCTGTTGGCCAGCAGCCACTCTATGTGGTGGAGGAAGCATTGGTGCCTGGCATCCCATAAGTGATGAAAAGCAGTAGATGGTGACTAATTGGCTAGCTGGGCTGTATTGAAATATTTCTGATGCCACCATTTTATATCCCTCTGAATCAAGTTGTAGGTCCTTTCTTGATCAGTGAAACTGCTGTCACCAAAGCTCCTTGATCTACTTCAACAGTAGTTACTCATAACAGCATTTTTGTCTCCCGAATGCATATATGACCTACATGGGCTGGGCTCGCCCCATGAGATTATGTTGCTTAGTGTCACACCTGGCTTAGTTTCTGAGTACCATCCACTATTACGATGTTCGCAGTGATGAAATGGCCCGAGAAGGCACTTCTCACAGCGTGTCCCTCTTGGTAAGCAGTGCATAACTATTCAGTAAGAAGGGAGGAAAAGTTTTCTAGTAACCACAGTACCTTTGAAAGGACCCGAAACTGCAGAAGGAAAGCTTCCCTGTTCCTCAGTGCTGAGTCTGCCCTTAATAATAGAGTTCTGAGCTGTTTGTGGACAGTAGATGATGCACCATTTTGGGGACAGACTAGCATGTCTTGGCCCAGTGAGTGATTTTCAGTCTGTTTTCCTTACAAGAATGAAAGCAGTTGATGCTTAACTGAATTTTGCCATTAACTGTGTCAAATCTCAGATTATTGTTCCTTGGAAATGGTCCTTGGGTACCACTTTTCAAGCTGTGTAGAAGTTCAGTTCTGCAAGATGTTAATGTGTTCCCTTTCCCACCACTGAAAAGTGACCCTTTAGTATGACTGTGAACTATTGTCATACTATTGTATATATACTATTGTCACTATTCATAAAGTGTCACAGTATAGAAACATACAGCACCAGGCATAGTGGCACATGCCTGTGATCTCAGCACTCGGGAGGCTGAGGCAGGAGGATCACCATGAGTTCAAGGCCAGCCTGGGCTCCACAGTGAGTTCAGAGTCAGCCTGAAGTACATGACAAGACTTAGTCTCAAAATAAAAAAGTACATGTTTATTCTTAAAACTAGTGTTTCCCAAAATTATATAACCATGTAAGCCCCCACACCTTTTAAATGGGGCATCTTACCCTTATTAAATCTAGTGTTCCAGAGAATACATGTTAACAGACATTGTTTTAGTACTATATTTTAAATGATAACACTCTTCTAAGTTTGCCTGTAATAGAGAATGTAGCTCATTTCAAGGTAAATTATCTTGTTTATAAACTGGGTCAAGATCATTTGAGTAGCTCCGCAGATCTCCATGCTCGTAGTTCAGAGGCTCACACATCTTAATTTTATTTTCAATTGATTTTCTTTTTTTAAAATTTTTTTATTTTAAAGAGATTAAGATAAAAGAGGACAGAACAAAGCAGATTAGAACAGAATAATATAAGCAACAAAGTATTTCACAAGGCAACCCGATATTAGCAGTAGCTACCATAATGTCTCTTTCTTTGAAATAGAGTGTATCTTCACATACAGTAGTATCAAACATAACAAAATAGTATAAAACCATTCAAGAGAATGAAAGTATTACAGGGCATTCAGAACCAAATAACGGAATACGAACAATGGCTACTATATTATCTTCTTTTCGATAAAAAAATTTGTTTATACTATCACAAATATTAAAATCCAGTAAGATACAACATGATAGAACCAATGGAAACAAAAGAACAAAAGCATGGTAGGACTTCAAAACATGATATTAAATCTGCAATGGCTGCCATAATGTCTTACTTTCTTCAAAATAGCTGTTCATACCATCACACATAATAAAATCAAGCAAACAGAATAAAACCATTCTAACTAATGAATGGAAACATAAGGCTTCAAAGCAATATAATGGGGAATCATGATTACCATAAAACCTTATGTACTCTTACCATTTATTACAATAGGGAGACTCTACAGTATTTGTATATGTGAGTTTGATTTATTTCGCTTATAAATATGGTCTCAAGTTGTGCAATTGATTTTCTTTATCTGCAACATTATGGGAAGACAATGGGGTCACTATAGATAGTGATTGTATGGTACACTTGTCAAAAAGCAAGAAAAAAGGATTTTGAATGGTTTGACATAAAGAAATGATAAAGGGGGAGATATATTTAACCTGATTATGTAGTGAATAGCTGTATCAGAAATCATAAAGTACTTTATTAATATGTATAATTTTGTTTTTATATATCAGTTTAAATATAAAATTAATTTAAAAATACTAGCAAGATGATTTTTTACATAGTGAGTTCAAGACCAGCCTAAACTGTGTAGGGAGACCCCATCTCAAAAAAAAAAAAAAAAAGAAAAATGACTTAGTGATACAGTAAGTGATGAATTCCCAAGACATGAATGTCAGATTCTTTATGAGAAAAGAACTGCAAGTATACACTACATGTTCAAAGAAAAAACAGCTACATTTATTGAAGTATACGGGAGAGTTCTGCTCACAGCAAGTCGTTCCTGCCAGCCACAAAAAGCTGACCAAACAGGAAAAAGCAGCGGTCCTGAGGTGGACGGAGAGTAGGAAGCAAGCAGGCCAGGTTTTAAGGTTTTCTTAATGGGAAGATTATATGTGGGAAAAGTATTTCTTTAAAATGATTAATTTTTCATTGTATTTACAGCTTCTGAATTCCAGGGAGGTGAGGCATATTGAAGTTATGGTACTGTTTTTGTTTTTTCCTTCTCAGGCTATTATTCGTGAATTGGGTGGTATTCCAATTATTGGAAGTAAAATCAACAGTCCAAACCACAGTATTAAAGAGAAAGCTTTAAATGCACTAAATAACCTGAGTGTGAATGTTGAAAATCAAATCAAGATAAAGGTAAGTTTTGTGAAGTCAAAAATGTAAAAGGTTTCCTATGATTAAAAAGGTAAGTGATGAAACGTTAGCAGACTGTCCCATCCAACTCCGTGGCCAAGAACTGACTTTAAGTAGACACCGAAGAAGGCAGAAAGGAGAGAAGCCTGAAGTGGGGAATAGGAGGCAGAGAATAAGGGACTTTTGTCATTGGAGCTCATTTAATCCAAAGACACTGAAAAAACCGCCAGAATCAAATATCAGCAGAAGCACTCAGTCAATTAAGAAATGGTCTGGATTCAGTTCATCAAATGACTTTCTGCTCTTTGGCATAGAATACAGGCATGAGTAGGATATGCCTCTTGCTCTGAGCAAGGAAGAGGAGATAAAGCTGCTCCTTGAACAGCTGTAATTCAGGCAGAACTTAATGAAGTGCTTTAAGGAAAGCCAGGAAGAGAAATGCAGCAGAGAGAAGAGATCGCATCCCAAAGTTTCTTGAAGTGGGGCCTGGCCTGGCTTTTAAGAATGTCTAAGGTCTCTACAGGTAGAGTTGGGCAAGGAGAAAACTCCAAGAAAAGGGGATAAGGGAAGTTGGGAATCACTGAGCCGACCTGCTTGGCAATGCTGTTACTAGAATTTAAATGGGGGAAGGACTCAGATTCAGTGAGGGTATAAATATTCAGCACAGCTTAGCACAAATGTTCAGATCATTCGAAAGACATTAGTACCTTTAAAAACATGACAAATAAGAACTAGAATACCATGTTTTAAGAGAATGGGTGTCACCAGTGAACCCTTTGACTTAGAATTGAGAGCTTCAATCTCTGCTGTGTTGCATCGCATTAGTGTCTGTGATAATGGGGGGGGGGTCTTTTAAAAAACTATTGAACAGTTGGTCATTCCTTAGAACTCCAAGTTAGGGAAACTTCCTCAGTAGGACTTTTGGTGGAGTTTAAATTTGGTTAAGTAAAACAAATAGATACAGATAGATTGAGCTCCCTCTACCCAACCTTTCATCCCTAGCTAAAGAAGAAAGAAATCGGGTTAAATGTAATTTTGCTCTGCTTATCTTTGACAGAGTTAACTCTTTAAAAAGTGTTGTTTCTCTCGGTCCCCTCCCCGCCTTCTTCACCTTGGCCTTGACACAGCTCTCGGACCGCCCACTGAGGTAGTCCCCAAGATGACCTTGCATGTCCTCCTGCTGCTCCCGTTGTCCCAGACCAGGAGAAACAAATGTGGCTAAAGTAGGAGGCGCCGTGTGCATGCAGGACCTCTCGGCCTGGGCCCTGCACAGGTCCAGGCACCTTGCAGACTTACAGTCCTGGCTGTATGATGCGCCCCAGCACCCACCTCGCAAGCATTGACTCAGGATCCTGCGAAAACGGTTTATAAAGTGCTCAGCACGGTGCCAGCATGAGCAAAGGCAGCTTTAAAAATGTGGCTGCATTTCTAGGGCTGAGTAGCAAACTCGTCTATGCCGAGGCGCTGGTTCCATATAGAGCTGTCGCCCTGCTGCCCTGTGCAGAGCGGTGGCCGCCGTCAGAGTCCCTCGGAGGTTCTGAGATGCTCGCGGTTTCCCCTCTGCCTCCAGGTGTTCGTCAGTCGAGTCTGCGAGGATGTCCTGTCCAGTCCCCCGGACTCTGCCGCACAGCTGGCCGGGCTGCGACTGCTGACAAACATGACGGTCACCAATGCGCACCAGCACCTGCTCAGCACTGCGGTGGCAGACCTGTTCGGCCTGTTACTGGCTGCAAATGGCAACACCAAGGTACGAGGGGCGCAGGTACTTCCTGACGGGGTGAGCTGTTGCCTCGTCATGTTAAGCTGAAGACCGAAGTCCCAGGCTGCTCATCTTAAGTTGGTGGAGCTCAAAAATGAAAATGTTGAGTCAGCTTATTAAAAATCTTCCCAGGACCTAAAAAAGTTATCCCTTAATATTAAAACTTAGCTTGTAAGAGTCATCTGCTATTAACTTACTGACGTCCAGGGGGTTTTCTGAGACTCGCTCTAAAGTGGAGTAGCTAACTTCCTGCCCTCAGAAATAGGAACAACATAATTAAGAGGGGTCGATGCGTAGTAATTGTGGCTTGTTGAATTTTTTGCTTACCTCAAGGTTAACAGAACATTTACTCAGCTGTCATTTCTTGGAAAATCTGTGCAAAATCACTTTTATCATGTTTTTAGTGCATAATGTTTCCATTCCTTGTGTGGCATTAGCACAGGTGTATAACACATCTGATTCCCTTTTTAGCCCCTTTCTGTCTTCTCCCTCCTCCTCTTGATCCTCTTCCCATGGGAGAGAGCTCTGTCTCCTACTCCTGTTATCTGTCTTTTATTTTGCTCTTTATGGATGACTTGAGTTTCTCATATAGGAGAAGCCATGTGATATTTGAGCAAGTATGTCTGATTAATTTCACTGAAAACTGTGTTCAGGTGAATCCATTTTCCTCAAATGACTCAAGACTCTTTCTTTATGACAGAGTAGTACTCCATTGTGTGAAAATACCACATTTTCTTTATCTGTTCATCTGTTAATGGACTCATAGGCTGCTTCTAAGATTTAGCTATTATGAATTCTGCTATAAACACTTGTCTATCCCTATAATATGACATGTTTAACTCTTCTGGGAAGACACTTAGAAAATGCCTAGAAAGGGAAAATCTGGGTCAAATAGAATTTCTGGTCTGAGTGTTTTGGGAAACCTCCGTCCTGAGTTTCATGGTGGTTGTCCTATTCAGCTGTCCACCAACAATGGAGAAGGATTCCTTTACTCATGCGGCCTCACCCGCGTTTATCATTTGATTTCTTGGCAATGTCCATGCTTTGTGGAGTATGGTATTGTTTCAGTGTTATCTTAATTTGCAATTCTCCAACAGCCAGCAGTGCTGACCATGCCTTCATATATTTACCGGCTATTTGTACTTTGCGGGCTGTATTCACTTTCCATTTGATTGGGTCTTTTATTTGAGGAGAGTCTAATTTTTTTTAGTTCTTTATACACTCTAGATATTAGTCCTCTGTCTGATGAATAACTGCCAAAATTTCCTTCCCATTCTGTAGGTTGTCTTTTCACTCTTTGGTTGCTTCTTTTGCTGGCTGCATAGAAGCTCTTAAATTTGATGTGATTCCATTTGTTGACTTGGTAGTGTACTCTTCTCTGATGCAAATAGGATTCTGCAACTAGGCCTGTGGGTTTTACCTGTTTTATCTTCTGGCAGGTTAAGTGTTTCTGTGTAAACTACTTTTTCTAGTAGTATATGAAGTGAGAAGAAAATGCCTGGGCATTTTAGGGCCACATGTGAAGCCTTGCTCAAATATGTGATACCACTTCTGTGGTTTCCAAGGATTATGGGAGGGTCTCACTACAGATCTGCTTCTCCTTTTTTGAGGTATTTATGAGCTCCCCACATTCCCACAGCCAAACCTACCTGGATCTGGACAAGATATACTCGTTGTCATTCAGAATTAAACGTCATTCAGAATTAAACTTTTAGCGAAATTGCTCCATCCCCACACAATTCCAGCATGCACGCACCTTCCAGCCTCTCCCCAGTAACAGGACGAGGTCCAGCCCTAGACCCTGGACACTGCTTCCCTCCTCAGCCCAGTGTGGTCGCTGCAAGAAAGGTCTGTCCTGCGCCTACCTCAGCTGCCTGCTACCCGGAGCCCCAGGACAGACTGGCTGAGCTCAGAGCCGGGAGTTCTGGCCTTGGGCCTGTATGTGACTGTCTCAGACATGGTCTGCTTTTCAGTATGATTTACAAGTTTAAAAGCTGACTCATAGCACAAAAGTATGTTCTAATTCTGTTTTGTTTTCCGTTACATTGCCAACAATAAGATAGAATTGGGAGGGGGGCATTCTGCCTAGGAACTTTGCCACCAGTGACAGCATTGTTTCTGCATAGAAATTGAATTTAAATTGAATTATCCAGTAAGCTTTTAGATAATCATGCATCAGTTAGTGGGAATATGTATCTGTATTTTAAAATCTTAAGGCAGTGACCTCACTGTACTGTAATGACTTTGGTGTTGCGGATTCATAAGTAAATACACATGGTGGAAGATTAACATAAATAAACACCATGTTCAATACATCTACAATGAGAATGAACAAAGCTAACCGCTTAAAATAAATATCTTGGAGTCACCACAAGGTGGCACATGTGAAAAGAGGGACAAGATAGGTTTTGAGCCAAAATACAGTACGTGCCTTTAATCTGTAGTTGTCCTCTAATTGTATATATCTTCTTCGGGTTTAATTCCTTGCTGCAGAGTATGGCAACTCACATTTTACTACAGAATATTAGGTCGATACCGTTCTGCTGCTCTCTGGTTGGATACCTGCCCTCAGTGACCACCAGTGGGCCTTTGGATTCTGTGGACTTGTCCAGGCCTGTTTCATAGGTGCGGGACCATCTCCTTCACACCTCTCGTTCTTGTTTTGCCAATGCGGACCACTCTGATGCTGGAGCCAGTATTTTTATCCTAACCCTAACCCTTGCCGGTGTTGATGACCATCGATCTGGCCACATGAATGCCACTGACGGTGTCCCTAGGGAGAGCAGTAAATAAGGGTCAGCTGTCACCTTTACTCCCTTAGGAGGCCTAACTTGATAAGAGCATTTGTTTGCAAGAGGTGATCTCTGCTTCAACAGTCTACCTGTAGTTACCTCTGGGGAGGGGAGGACGCGGGAACAGTAGCTTTTGTCTTTGCCTTTTCCTTTCTGTTTGAAATTTTTATCATGGCCATGTATTTTTATTTTTTAAAATTGATAAAATGAGATTAAATAATAGCTATAAGATGATCAAAGGAATTGTAAGCATACAGTATGAGATACTGTATGTGCATAAAGACCAGAAAGAAAACACGAAAGCATCATAGTGATCGTTTCTGGTCATTGGGAATAGGAATGAACTTCCTTTTTCTTGGACTTTGTTATCTTTAAAAATGTTCTCAGGCAAGTGCCAAGTGGTACAGCACTTGCCTGGCATGTGTGAGGATCTAGGTTCAATCCCAGCACCACCAAAAAACAAAAAAAGTTCTGTAGTAAAATCTGTTGCCTTTGGAATTAAAAAAAAAAAAAGTTTAAATAAACATCCAGGTTTCTTCCTACGAAGGAAACAATATTTGTTGCTTCCTCTTGACTTTGTTACCTTCTCCTTTCACCTCACTTAACTACCTTGTAGAAACTGGTTTCACATGTTTTTTAGGAAAAAATTCCATTTTAACATTTATATTATTTTTCAGAAATAAGTGGTAAGACTGCTAAAATTTTAGTCAGCTATTAAATGTGTTTACTAATTATTTAGATCACTGTGCCTATTTAAATCACTGAACATTTTTCACATAAAAAAGATAACCTAGTACCAATAAGAAGAAAATGGCTATATTCCATATTTAGTCTTGGTAACCAAACTGTTTGGAAATTTCCATACCTTCAGGAGAAATGAACTAAACTTTGAGAGGTTTTTTTTGTTCTAAGGAACATCCGTCACTCACCAGTAGTTATAATAAAGATCACTCGGCGCCCATCAGCTTGGGCGACGTGTGCGGGAGCGAATTGTGAAGGCGTTCGCGGTGCTCCTCCCGTACCCGAAACGGTGGGCTTGGAGGGGTTCTGAGTGGCACTGCTCTGTAATAATTCCTCTGAGAGCAGGGCCAGCAGCTCTGGGAGTGCAGAAGGAGAGACTTCATGGAGTGGGAAGACTGAGCCTGCTTCCGAGCACAGGCAGGACTTCGCACGGAAGAAAACCAGCCGGGAGAGAAGATCTGTGCTGCTGGCCGGGAATAAACCTGTATTCTCATTTCAGGTTCAGGTTTTGAAGCTGCTTGTGAATTTGTCTGAAAATCCAGCCATGACAGAAGGACTTCTCAGTGCTCAAGTAAATAAATTATATACATTTTTTAAATACATACATTTTCCAGTTTGGATAGATAGATCTGGAAACATTTACCCTAAAATGTTCCCAGGGATTCTCTGAAGAGCACTGTGAAAGTGTAGGACTCTCCTAATGTTCTGTGACTCACAGACAAGGCAGAACCAAGGTCCCCAGTGCTGTGCCAGAGGCCGGGCTGAGCACCACAGTACGCAGTGCTGTCCCTGGGGCCTGTGGTCTAGCAGAGAGACAGAGCTGTGTCACAAGGGAGTGAGGCAGGCGGAAGCCAGGGAAGGGCAGCTGAGACGGAGCGGGACCCACCTGCTGGGGAAGAAGGAACCCTCGTGTGATCCCCTAAACAGGAGGAATCAGTGAGACCTCAGAAAAACTGTATGGCGGGGCCTAAAGAGGGAAAGGAGGTTTTTCCAGATTGACCTTATTCTGGGAAATCTTAAACCAAAATGCAAAACCTGTTTCCATTAGCATAGAACGTAGGAGTGCATAAGATTTTACACATCTATGTTATGCGTGAACTTTGTGTGTCAGGATTTTTAAAATGTAAAACAGTGCTCTATGTGCCAGTGATGACCGTCGTTTCCTATTTCAGGTGGATGCGTCCTTCCTTTCCCTTTTTGATGGCCACGTAGCACAGGAGATTCTTCTTCGAGTACTTACACTGTTTCAGAATATAAATAACTGCCTCCGAGTGGAGGCTGTTCAGCCTCCTTTCCCTGAAGGCTCACTGTTTTCTCTGTTATATGGAGAAGAATGTGTCCAGAAAATGAAAGCTTTAGTGAATCATCATGAAGTGGACGTGAGAGAAAAGGCTGTAACAATAATACCAAAATTCTGATCGGCTGTCACACTTTCCGAGCAGTAGTACGGTCTGCAAGGTAACACACAGAAACTTACTTCGCTTCTTTTTTATAAACGGATTCTGTCAGCTGTGGTGCTGTTGTTTTGGTACCAAGAATGAAACTCAGGACGTTGCTCTTGCCAGGCCGGCGCTGTGCCGCTGAGCTGTGTCCCCAGCCCTCAGCTGCTGACTTTGAACTTCACGTTTTATCTTTAACACAGTACAGGTTGACCATCCTCAACATGATGTGCGAAGATTTAAAATTTGAAGCATTTTGGATTTGTGGCTTTTGAGTTGGGGATCCTCAGCCAGTGAAGTCTACGCAAATATTCCAGGGTCCCCAAAACCCCAAAGTGTGAAATATTTCTGGACCTCACCATTTCAAATAAGGGATTCCCAATGTATGTAACTTGCTGAGTCTTCCAGTTCGTTTTGGACCATGTTATTGATGCTAAACAAATTCAAGTTTGGATTGAAACCACTCATTTTGCTATTTGCTGAAGCACATAATTGCCTCCACATGAAGTGCAGCGACCTTTTTATAAAAAAGACCCCCTTCTGTTGGAAGCGACTCGCAGGGACTCATCTGAGACAGCATCAGTGTGGGATTCACTCACCAACTGAGAACTGCCCCAAGGACAGCCTTGGCCTTCAGTAGCAGTGAGGTCCTGGTTCTCATGTCCACCCACTAAGCCAGCCATTCTGCTTGCAGAAGTCTGCTGTGGTCATCAGAATCAGTTCTCACCATTTCATCAATAAAACGATGTAAACTTTTGGGGGAAGTGTTTCTTAGTATTTCTTAGTACTTGCCTGCTCCCAGTGTGCCAGTGTGTCAGTGCTACCTGCAAAATACTGTGACCAGGCCAAATGGCCATCCATACGTAAGCAGTTGGTAAACTCAGCTAGCCAGTATAAAAGGATGGAGTCTGAGTCTTAACATGGAAAACATCCATGAAATATACTTCTTGAGAGCATGTTATAAAGGAAATGTGCATAACATGACTCCGTGGTTAAGTTTCATGTAAAGAATAGTTGTAGAGCTTCCGGGAGAACATGGCAGACAGATAACAGCTACTATGGAGGCTCTCTGAAAGGCTCGGCTCAGAAGTCAGGAAGGGTGCTGAGTAAGGAGACATAAGCAGGTGGAGATATGCTCTGTTGACTCAGGAACGAACTGGGCTGAGAGAAACCAACTTGGAATGCAGTCCTGGTGCTAAAACAGAAACAGAAAAGCCTTAGAGTGGAGGCTGGAGCCCGCGCCATTGGAAGCCGTGATTTGGGTTTCCCGCTGCATGGCGACTGCCTCTACATCGGCTCGGCAAGGAGGGAGACGCGCGGAAGCTCTGAGAACGGGAATCTGCGAACAGAGTCAAAAACAGGACGGGCAGGGAGGCGTGCACTGACTTGTGGTGAGGTGAGTGAGAGAAACTGACACACTACCACAATTTGACTCCAGCGGAGGACATTCTGGGCACGGGCAGTCCTGCGGGAGCAGGGTGCGGTGGCGACTCCAGCCACACATCTCTCAGGCGGGATTGGTGAAAAGTGCCTGGCCTGCGTGGCGCTGCTGGCGGACCCAGTAGGCTAGCCCAACCCAGATCCCAGAGCCTGACGGTGGCCGGGAGGGGCGGGCCCCATGTAGGCTGCCTGGTCCGTAACTCCCTGGTGCGCTGCGGCGGGCGGGAACACCTAACCGGCGCAATTCGATCAGGCTGTGGCTGACAGGGAGAGAAGCTGGGTCTCCTATATAAGCTTACATATATAAGGAACAGAGAATATGGGAAGAGGCAGCAACAAGAAAGGCTCCTCGGCCCCCAATTCTGAGAAACAAGCAATAGCGAACACCACACCAATAGACATAAAGCGCCATATAGAGAGCCTCATAGATCAGTTCAGGAATGAAGTTATCAATGACCTGAAGATAGAAGTATGCAGAATAGTTAGAGAAATGCTAAGCACCACCCAAGAAAAAACAGATGGTGGAATGGAAGAACAGAAAAAGAGGGGAGAATTGTTTGATGGAGAAAACAGAGAAAGCATAGAATACGTGAAGCAGGTTCAAAGGGACTACCAAGAAACTAAGAAGTCTGGCATAACACTCAAAGACTGGCATAACAGCTTGAAAGAAACTAAGGACAGACTATCTGAACTGGAGGGCAGATTTGTAATATGGGAGAATGAAATGAAAAACTTCTTAAAAATAACAAAGAAACAAACAGCAATAATACAAAGACAAGAAGATGATAAGAGGATCCATAACTTAAGGATTAAGAACATAAAAGAAGAAGTAGGGACACAAACAAATGAACTACAAAAGATACTCACAGAAATAATCCAGGAGAATTTTCCTAATTTAGCAAAAGGTAAAGATACTCAGATGTATGAGGCATACAGGACCCCAGCTACCTACAACCCAAACAGAGCAACACCCAGGCATATAATAATAAAAATTCCAGAAATTCAATACAAGAACAGAATATTAAAAGCTGTCAGAGACAAGAAACAGAAGAAACAGACCACTTACAAGGGAACACCCATCAGAATTAGAGCAGATTTCTCTGCACAAACCATCAAATCACGAAGAGCGTGGGGGGAAATAATTCATGCTTTAAAAAATAATAATCTCCAGCCAAGATTGAGATATCCTGCACAACTGTCCCTGGAAATTGATGGAAAAACAAGGTGCTTCCAGGATAAGGAGGAACTGGGGGAATTTGCAACCACCAATTCAACTCTACATAGAGTATTGCAGGATATTCTAAAAAAAGAAAAAGACAGAGAATCCAGAAATAGTGGCGGGGAGGCCACAACGAATGGAGCAGAGAAGAAAATGAAGAAGACAAACTGACAGCTACTGACAGAAAAGGAGCTCAACAGAAATGAGGCAGAGAAGATTGGATGATAGGAACAGCTATTTTGGAGAAAATGACATCTTTATAGGTAATACTGATTTAGTATCATCTTGTTTTGAAGTCTCATCAAGCTTTTGTTCTTCTGTCTCCATTGGTCTAAATAGGTTGTATCTTACTGGATTTTATTATGTATGATAGTATAAGCAAAAACCTTTTAAAGACAAGGAGATTATACAGAAACCATTGTTCATTTTCTGTTAGTCGATTCTAAATACTCTGTAATGCTGTCATTCTCTTAAATGGTTTTACATTGTTTTGATATATTTAATGCTACAGTATACGAAGTTGTACTCAAGGATTTCAAGGAAAGAGACAATATGGTAACTACTTTTAGGTCAGGATTATCTGGTGGTGAAACACTATTCTGCTTAAATGGTTATGTTTTGATCTGCACTGTTTCGCTGTTATGCCCTCTTTTATCTCAATCTCCACTCCATTATTTACTTATTTTTATCCTTTTAATTAAAGAAAAAATAAATAAAAATAGCAGAATATATTATAGTAACCCACTTTGACTTTCCATTATCTCGATTTGAAGCCCTGTATTACTCTCACCATCTTGTTTTTAACTGATGTTCCCCTATTCTGTTTTGCTGGATAGTATCAGGTTCGAAACTTTAGGCAACAGCTGTGAAGATAATGAGATTCATGACGCCCATTCTCGTTGACTTTTATCTACTTTTGAAGACCTACAATGTCTCCAATGTTTTGGTTTTGTCAGTTTTGTTCTTTACTGTTTTGTTCAATTTTATTATAACTAATGATATAGGCAATTCTATTAGAGATAGCGGGAGGCATTATGGTAACCATTGTTGATCACCTTGTATTATGTTTTTACATTATCTATTATGTCCACCCTTTTGATTTGACCAATTCTGTTCTGTTATGTCACATTTGGTTTTACTCTCTTCCAAAAAATAAGAACCGTGGGAGCAATGAAACCTAAAATGTGTAATAGTCACTGTACAAAAGAGAGGAAAAGAAAGTGCTCTAAACTATATAACTGCATGTATACTTAAGTGTATAAGATAGAAAATGATATCAGAGTTTTATTGGATCATTGAACAGAACTGTTTGCAGTATCATTGTTGGAATGTCCACTTTACAAGCTTTAATTTTGTGACTTGAACAATTATTTCTAAGATGACAATATGTAATCCATTAACTAGTGATTTCCTACTGTTTATTTTTTTTTCTGTAAATCTGTATAACTTGTACCCTTTCTCTGCTTTTTTTTTCCTTAAATAAAATTAAAAAAAAAAAAAAAAAAAAGAATAGTTGTAGAATAACTCCTGGGAGCAGAACTGAGAAGAGGAAGTAGGGAACGTAACTTTGCCATGGACATTCATTTCTGTTTGAAGGGTTTTTTTTTTTTTAAACCATAAACATAAATTGTGTTAATTTTTAATAAAAAGGAAAAAATTGACAAGGCTGTATAATTTTCCCCCTGACAGTACTTTATTTTCATCCATTTTTTACTAACGTTACAATAGATGAACATTTTCAGCTATTATCTTTTTAAATAGTATTTTCTCCCATCAGCAGTAACAATGTGATGTCTGATTCAGCCAGGTTCTATAATATCCAAGTTCCCAAGCCCCATCATGCTTAGCACTGAGTAAATATACAAGCAGGTTTCTACCTGTGTAAAGCCTTAAGAACTTCATTCGCAAATATACAAGACTTATTTCCAAAGGGAGTTACAAATCCTCAAACTGAAAAAATGTTCTCAGGGTTATTGTGACACAGAAATTAACTCTGAAGAAATATTTGAACAGTAGAAAAAGGGTTTTATGTAAGTGAAAAATTGAGGGTGGGCCGGCCAGCCGCGGTGCACCAGGTGTCTGTGGAGATGCCTGACTTTAGAACTTGAATAAGCTGATGCACGTGTACATTTCTCTCGGATAAAAACTTACAGTAGTATTGTGTGTAAATGTTATTTAGTGAAGACATTAAAAGATAACTTTCTGGAAAAAGATGAAAAACAAATTTGCAGTGGGCTAGAATAGTGTAATAGATGGCTAAAAATACAATACAGTAGGTGGTAAACCCTGGAAAGGCACATTTCTTTACAAGTTTTTAAAAATTACCTATTTAAATACGTGTTCAACATGTGCACATATTAAAAACCAGAATTTGTGTTCAATATGCTTTAGCAGCGCTGGATTCTGAAACTCTTATCTTCTTTTCCTGTTTTTAGTCTGCGTAATTATACTTCAGAGATTAGAGCATTGATTCTGAAATGTCACAACACGCATAATTTTTGCTATCCAGAACACGTAGTGAAATACACAGATCTTCCTTATGTAGGTCGTGATATATCTTTACTTTTATTAGGTGGTAGGATGTGTCAGTGTTGCTCAGGATGTTCACTAATCAAAGGTGAACAGGAAATTGACCTTACTGATCAAAAAGATTAAAAGGTGTTCAGTGTTCATCAGAGTGAATAGATTGGTCTTTTCAATCTTCACTTAGCACTGAAACCTTCAAAATGTAAGCGGAAAAGTGAAAACCACTCAATGAGGTGGTTTTGATAAGGCATGATACTGATACTTTAAAATATCAATGTAGAAGGAAAATGAATGGCAGTAACAATGAAGGCTTGTCAGGAAGCCTAGAAAGACAAAGCCAGCCCCCGATGAAATGGAAGCAGAACACAACATTTTAAGTGCTTAGAGGCACGGTTAAAAGGGTTCGTGTTATACAGAACTAACGCTAAGCCCATTCATGGAGAGTAAGTACTCAAGCAAGAGGTACTGGGCTTGCTGCAGAGGTCAGAAATGAACCTTCAGCTTGACGTGCAGCAACAAGGATATGGCGACAAGAATGCTGGCCCCAGAGCTGACCCTCAGCGCCCTCCCATCTTGGTGCACACAACTGGGAAATTGTTTGCTCAGTTTTGTCCTGAAGTTTATCTTCTAAGAATTTCTTTTGTGCTTCAGTGCCCCAAAGTCATATGTGCTGACGTACATTATAAACACACACATTTCACCAACACTTTGCTGATTTGAAGCTCAATTTTGACAAAGATCACTTGCTGAATTTATCAAGCGAGGGGGACACGGCTGTTAGTCTTCAGTGGGTAGTGTCCTAATGTGTGCTTACATATGCGGCAGAAGGATTAAGAAAGACCTCAGAAGCATGAGCCAGCTCAGTTTGCAGGTGGACCCAACTACTCAAAGCAATGACATCTTAAAGCATGTGCTCCTTCAGATCTCTAAAGTGCTTTTTAAAATCTCTTTATTTATTTTGCAGTTTGGAGGTAGGTCAGAAGTATCCTCTTGTTACACACGAGGAAGAGGCACAGTGAGCATAGTGACTTCTCAGGTTACAAAGAAAATTCAAGATGGAACAATGAAAATTAAAATTCACATGTAGTGGTTAATGTGTCATGCATGCACCTGTGCAAACCCAATTACAGAGCAAGGTCCAGGTAGCATTTGGTTTAGAAAACGTGCGTCACTGTGTGTGAATATGAAGCCTATTTCACTAAGCCTATGGTTCCAGAGCATGGAGTGAGTGGCCCTCTAACAGTACCTAATACACCTTCCTAGCGATCTCAGAGTATCAGGACTACAGGTGTGTGCCACCATGCACAGCTCAGCTCATAAAACTAGCTGACACCCAGTATCTACTTTTTTAACCACTTGTATTCCACAAAGGTGTTCTCATACTTAGAGATCATTTGATACAAAAATATATAACATCTTAATCATGTAAAACAAAATATTTATAGATATATTTAGGATTAGAGTTAGCAAACCAGAAAAAATAGAGAAAATGAAGAATGAAAAAAGTCAAATGTATATTCTATTCACATGTAACATCTACATTTATCTTCTGAAATACTTAATTATATTTGTGCTTACCAAAAGGTATTTTAGAATAAAAATAGAAAATTTCATAAATCATTCTCATCACCGTACCCTTTCCCTTCCTCTGCCCAGATCAGAGAGCTTCCAATATGGAGACTGGAAATGTGCAGTAGAACACAGTGTTGTTCTTTAAAAATTTAAGTGATGGCAGTCATGAGTGCACAACCATGGGAATATACTTAATGCCAAAAAATTTTAATAGTTAAAATGAAAAGTCTGTATGTATTTATTACAATAAAAAGTAATGTCTTTAAAAATGGTAATTTAGCCCAAACACCTATGTCTTTATGCTCATCAAAATACACCACCTAACATTTGGCATATAAGCTAATCTTGACAAAGCAAGAGCTATGTTTATAAGCATGTGGGAGTCAGCTGTGTCACTTACTACAGTTAGGGGGGTGTGTGTGTGTGTGTGTGTGTGTGTGTGTGTGTGTGTGTGCAGGCCTCTGAAAAGATCCAGGCAGACGGCCTGACTCACCTTGAAGAAAACCCTGATAGAAAAACAGATGCCTCTTTAATACCAGTGTTTCATAATCTCAGAAAATTCTACTACCACTAAAGTATAATGTTTTAGTTAAAAAATTTCTACTGAAATGCTTACACCATTGATAGCTATTTTTTACACCCATATTGACCAGCTTGTTATTTAAATGACCCACCTCCTTCATGGTTTTCTAAGCTGGTCATCATACTGGTAAGCAAGTTATTACATAAACATAAAACACACACTTGCAGAAGTCATTTCCAAAGGAAAAAGTCAACACTCCTGAATTTCTTGAGTCTTTCCGTTTTCAAATTTCTTTTTTTTTTTTTTTTTTTGTCTTTTTCCTTTTTTATCGGTACCAGGGATCAAACTCACGACTGCCTGCTTGCAAGGCAGGCGCTTATGCCGCTGAGCTAAATCCCCAGCCCCCGTTTTCAAATTTCTATCAAATGATTTCTTTTTCATTAAAAGCTCCTGTGCTCATCTTTGTTCAAAGTTTTAATCATCTGTATTTAAGTATCTGGTTTCTCCATGCTTCAAGACAAAAAAATCTTCACTGTTAAGTCCGTATCTTTCCAGAGCTTCACTCAGTTTCACTGGAGGCTCTAAGTAATGCTGGCAAAATGCAAAAGAAAAAAGGAGAAAAATTAAATATACACATGGGGAATATGTGAAATATAAGGTTAACCAACAGATGGCCACATAAAACAGTACCTTTCGTTCTAAGTGCAGCATTAGCAAATGGGCCAATCATTTTTCATGCAGTTTAGCATTAACTGAAGTCGACAGATGTGTCTGTTGTTAGTTGTGAGTCACCTGCACGGCACAGTGCCACCTGAGACTGAACCTCATTAGATTACATGAAATGTGGTCGCTTTCACTGTGTGAAATTTCACTCTAAATGGAATCAATGCCAAAAATGATTAGGGAATTGAATGAACGCTACCAACATTTTTTAAGCAAACAAATTCAGATATAAACTAATGCTAGCGTAAATGTTTTTGGCTAAAGAAGAGCTGTTACTCTCTGGACCTCCAGCTCCATACAGAAGCCGCAGTCTGCAGAATGAAAGAGGCCCCAGAGACAGTCGCTGCAGGAGAGGCCTGTCTCCCTGTGTGTGCTCAGCTTTTCACAGCTCAGTCAAAAGGGAAGGCAGCATATGGAATATTCCAGAATTTTCCCACCCACTGGAAATTTCCAGATAAGTTGAGACTATTTCAATATGCAATTAAATAGCAATTTAACAGAAAATGTTGAGAAGACTGTAACTTCTTTTATTGGTTATTTCTCTTTGGGTCTAAATGTTTACATTGTATGACAGCTATTTTACTTCTACAAAGGCTTTTTACCTCAACTAGAAAAGCTGTAAAATTTGTAAGTGAAAAGAAAAAAACCCTTTCTCTGATACCATCACCAGTGGCAATCTGCGTCTCCCTTCATACAACACACCCCCTGAGTCTGTCCCCAGCGTGCCAGGCCAGCAACTCAGCAAAGATGCTTGTCCTTCCGGAGCTACCAGTCTAGCAGAGACGGAAAAGGACTAGGAAAGGGTTCCCACGTGAGTGTGTGACCGTGCGACCATGTTCCAGGGACAGGGAAGGCGGCGTGGGAAGACACAGCGGGCGGGGAGACAGGCATGATTCTCCTGATGCTCCCTGCCACATCTGAACCAAGACCTGGCGGCCCAGGCCACACAGGGCGCTGCAGGCAGCTGGGCGAGCTGAGCCTTTCACTCCACATCACCGTGGCAGACACACGGCGTGATTCAGCTGCAGCTGCAAGCAACAGGGCAGTAACTCTGAAGGAGGTCAGAAGCGGCCCAGTTCTGAGTCTGAGCTGAAGGCTGACCTGACTGCAGAGGAACTGGGAGAAGGATGTGAGAAACAGAAGCCAAGGTTGCAGCCTGAGCAACTGGGAAGGAGGAGCTGCCATCGACAGAGGTTAAGAGAAACAAGTGGGGGTGGGGGAGATGAGGAAGTTCAGTTTCAGACCCAGGTTCCAGATTCCTGAAGGCTATCCAAGCGGAGGTGCCAAGGGAAGCTGGGTATGTAAGTAAAGAACACGAGGGGTCTGAGTTAGAGAGGTGCAGCAGACAGCTGGCATTTAGAGAGGTCCCAAAGGGGGAACCAGCAGAGGAAGAGGCCCAGCAGAGCACTCAGTGCTCAGGGGAAAAGGGGGGTCCTGCACCGGAGACAGAGGGGACAGCTAGGCACATGCACTAGAAGCCCGGAAACGCTTCCTGAGGTCCAGCATGCACAGATTTGGTCAGAGTTCTTGGTCACATTGCTAACCTGCTCACTTCCACTTCATGGCTGTTTAAAGGCTGCCTTTCAAGTGACTTAGGTTTCAACTAAACTTTATTCTCCCAGTTGCAGGAGATAACCAATTATGGATGGATGGCTTATAATCCAAATGTGCTTATAGTCCATTTCATACATACAGAAAGTAGATCACTAATGTATTACCAGAAGAACTTAACTCTATCGGAGCCTAAGTCACATTTTCCTTGCCAATTTTTTTTTTTAATTTCAAAGTGATGACATTCTTTCCCACTGAAAATAAGTACTCAACGCTGTGCTCGCTGTCTTGCCAAACATACACGTACACAATCACCTGATTGATAACGTATTTCTTTGCTAAACTCTACCTTTAGTGTAAAGTATGAGGTGCAGATTTAGTGTGGATTTTGATGTGTGTTGGCCAGGAGCACACCCTTTTGTCTTTAATCTGTCTAGATTTAGCAGTCTTTTAAAATTCCTTCAAAAGTTAATTCTTGGCTATTTTCAGCTATCTAGGGAAAAGCCTTGAGATGAGGTAGCAAAGGCCTCTGGGTTACCTGGACTATCTTATAAGCCAAACCAAACAACCATGCCTAAGGCAAGTCCGCAAATCCCAGCCTGGTAAGGCGAAGTGGCCAGAGCAGGAGCGCTCCCAGCACCAGCCCTAGTCAGCCACTAAGGTCTTAAGCAGACACCTGTTTTACAGCCTACTACAACAGAATCCATTCCAAGCTTATCTATTCCATACCTAAAATCTGTTTCCATCAAAACTCCTCATTTAAGTTTTAGGGCTTAAATATACCATTTAGGAAATCCACTTATTGTTCCTTAGGTTAGATGTTGCTATTTATGCACAATTTTAGGATCCTGCCACGGTACAGGCTCCTTATTCTCCCTATATTACAGTGTGCAGATGTTGTAGTTACGTAAATGTCATTTTAAAGCATGGTACCCTACTTTTCGACTCCCCGGGTTACATGTAAAGATTTTTGATGACATAAACACATGCTTCATTAACAACAGAAATAAGCCCAAGAACCAGCAGGCTAAGAGGCTCTCTTCACCGCATCCAAGTACTGTTTTATCTCTGCTTCATACATGACTGCCCAGGGCAGACTCAAGTCTGGCCCAGAACCCCGCTAGGAGACTGGATGGAGATGGCCAGATCCTACCACTGGTCAAACACACCGGCCAAGCTCTTGGCATGAACAAACTCACCTCATATGCTAAGGCGAAAGTTCCCCAGTGAATGGCCACAGATTTCTTTGCTTGAACATCAATGTGAATCCTTACAGCTTCTTCTGGGTCTATGTGCTGGTATTTCATAAACCACCTGATGAAATAGCAATTTATTAATTTTGGCCTGCGCATGTACTCTAAATTCTAATTACCACCTCATCTAATCAACCTTTGCGATTCTGCCCAGGATTAGGGATGTCTGAGAAATCAGCAGCTCAGTGTGGGTGTCTTCGTAGCCACTGGCCATCTAGAGAGCTCGTAACAGATCGTGCAGTCTAGCCTGTGCCCTCAGTGACTGTCATTTAATTTTACTGGGCTGGGACAGAGTATTAGCATTTGTAAAAGCTCCCCATAAAAAACTACTGGAAATAGAATATAAGCAACACTCTGGAGAAAGAGCCCGAAACTCAGGTCAAGGCTTGATTGTAAAAAATAAAATGAAACGGTTTTAAACAGAAATAAATCACCGTAGACAAAACCATCCCCTTATAGTTCACCTTTCTGCTGGGAAAAAATACACATTTTTCTTACATAAATTACAACAAATAAGTTTCAAATAAAATTCTGCAAAGTAAAATCTTTTTCATGTATATTTTTAGTGCTAAGACTTCTTACCTAATGATACAACTTACTATTACTTTTAAAAGTTACAATCCTGAGTATGAATTAAAGAAACTAAACACTAGATAAGAACTGGAAATCAAAACTCTAATTCCAAAAGATCCTTGATACTACACAAAAACCATTTTTAAAAAACTTGCTAAAGCCAAAAGCAAACAAAAATTAATGCATAAATGTTTAAAGACCTGGAGCAAAAAATTCCATTTACTCTTCAATGAACTGATTTAAAAGACAACTGAACCATGAAGTGTTTGGTTTGGCAAGAAAACAGGACTGATGGTATCACCTGCTATCCTAGGTCCTTGCTTCAATGATAATGGAAATTAAAGCTGAAGCTTTCATCTTGAATTTACCGGAAAAAGTTTTATTGGAAAAGTGAAAGAAAATGAAGGGATGACACAGTTCTGACAAAGAGCAAGCTGACCCCTAACAAAGGTAGGTAAGAGAAGGGAGGAAAGGGCTTCGGTGTGAGATGCTGATGCCCGAATCCCACCACTGGACAAACACAAGCTGAATGCAGGAGTGGGTCTAAAGAGGCGGCCCATTAATGAAGAAAAGGGACCAGTTTCATGGGGTGCTATGGGGGCTGAGGCCCGCTGGTCATCTCTCAGTCCTGGCTTTGCAGCTCTGGAAGAACCCTCGTAATTGTCTCCGCTTAGGCAGTTCAGTCCTGCGAGGTGCTGTGAGAATCCACGGTGACTGCAGGTTTACAGTAGTGAGATTTCTGGACACAGCTGACTGTCACGTATCTCTCATCCTGGGGTCCTCCACCTTAAAGGGTGGTGAGACAGCCTACCTAAATCTAGGCTCAACCTTGTTTTGCCAACTTTTAGACAGACATTTCCTACATGTTCACAGGTACAACAGAGAATCTGACCTGGTTTTTCACAACAGGGGGTAACTGTGGGCCCAAATGAAGAGTCATAGTTTCCGCAAAACCCACTTTAAGACCCTGCTTGTCTCAAAAGAAAACACCAATTATCCTTTTATAACAGGTTACAGGCCCGAGAGTTTATCTGTCCCAGTGATGACCTGGGAGAATGGCAGGGATATCACACAGGGCCCTGGCAGGCTGCCCAATGCAGCCCACGAGGCAGCGGGGTGAGACCAGCTCCTGCAGCCCCGGGGTCACCTGTGGAGGTGTCCCCAGTGCAATTCCCCAGGCTGCTGCTTCTCATCTGTGAAGTGCAAACGTAGACCCACCTTGAAGGGTGTTGCGAGGATTAAAAGGGAGACTTTACGAACGCACCGAGCACGGCACCTGCTTCACAGGCTTCTCCCAGAAAAGCAGACGTGGCAAAACCAATGCTATCAAACAAGACCATTACTTCCAATAAAGAGGGCAAAATGTGCTATCTGTAAGCAAATCTGGCAGGTTAGAGGAGGAAAAGCAAACCCATCTTCCCGTTCCTCACACCCTGGGCTAAGCAAAGGCGCTGGTCATGACGCAGCTGTAAGGCCCAGCTATACTCACAGGCAGCAGCTGCAGGGGCCTACGGGAGCCCAAACACGAAGCCGCAGTGTTCTGCCCAGCCACACCTTACACAAGCCCTGCTCTGTCCCCTCACCTGGGACTCAGGATGCAGGGCAAGATGAAAAGTGTCTGGTGCATCTGCTGTTTTATTTTTTAATTTTGCCTGCAAATTCAAGGGCAAGTTGCTCCTTTCTATTCTCATGTCTATCTGAAATAATCTTAAAATTTTTACTCTAATGTAACAAAAATGTTAACTCCCAACTGACTTGGCTAGAATCCCTGTTGACAAGCGACCCCAAAGGTAAGAAGGAAGCATTGTCTTCTCAGGGTGAGACTGAAAGTTCCTGGAGCGTCATCCTCTTACATTTGGAGAGCACGTCCCGTTTCTGGGAATACATCCCTTACATCTCAAAATGTTGGTAGTGACCAGAGAAATGGGTACACAGCAGAGGATACCACATTTGATCCACTTAGAGCAGGATCCACTCATCCTTCTCCCACCTTATACACAAAACAGCTGTGACCAGGCGGGCAGGGGAAGGAAGTGTGTGTGCAGACGTGTGCAGCTTGCTTACCATTATCTATCCTGCTACCTCGAAGATTTTCATAAGCGAGATCCTAATATATTAATAACATGTACTGTGTGACACTCCATATTATATAAACTGATTTGCTTTTTATAAAATATTGCTGTTTTCAGAGGTTTAATTAAAAGAATTACTTAAGAGGAAAAGTGAAATTCAAGGATTAATATTGATTAATCCTTAACTGGAACAATTAACAGCAACCAAAAAAAAAAAGTTAAAACACCCAGCCCTGCAAAACAAGGAAACTAGGAAACACACAGGAGGGAGAAATGAGTGCTAATAAAGATAACGAAAGATGTTTTAAGTGAATTTAAAAGGTTAACAAATGAATATAAAACAATCCAGTGGAAACAGAGCAGCTTCATCCTACCATGTGTTATTATATGGGGGGAAACCTGAATTGTTCTGCCTGCAGGGCTTCCTCAGCAAAACACACCTGTGATGTCCTGTGCAAGCACTGAAGCCTAGATAAAGCATGTTTAAATTAAAAACGGGAAGTACCCCTAAGTCTGCTACTGTGTTTGTTTTCTTTGTACTCACACACTTGACCAGAGTATAACCAGGTGTGATGCGTGCCTGTCAGCCCAGCTCCCTGGGAGGCTGTGCCTGGGAGGCAGAATGGTCAAGCCCACCCTAGGCAATTTAGCAAGATCCTGTGGGGGGGGGTGAAAAATGAAAAAGAGTGAGGACAGAGCCCAGGGCAATGTCCTATATTCAATTCTTAGCACCAAACCAAAAAAACCTCATCGATGGGTGTGGTGGCTCACGCCTATAATCCCATCACTTGGACGGCTGAGGAAGGGGATCACTGGAAATTTAAAACCAGCTTAGGCTACAAAGTGAGCTCAAGGCCAGCCTGAACTGCATAGTGAGACCCTCTCAAAAACAAAACAAAACAAAACAAAACAAAAAAAGAAAGAAACACACAGAATGGACTGAAATCTAATTCTTTTCCCTAAACACTTTGAGGCTCCTGGGCCACCGATGGATGTTTATACGCTGAGTGCACAGGGCTGAGGGCGGCGGTAAGGCAGCGCTCTGGACCAGTCTCACCTGTGAGCAGACAGAGACCACCCTCAGGCACCCACGCTACAGCCAACACCTTGCTTTTCCCCCCACTAGACACAGCAGAGACACTGGACAGGGAATGCTCAAATCAGAGGGAAAAGGAGTTATGTAAAAAAAGAACTCTCTACATGAAAGGGAGAGCAAGAGTTAGGTTCCATTACTGGCTGATGAGGTTAACTTCGGATGGGGTGGTGCGTGAGCTCCTGGTGAGGTGGGGGCATTCTTTACACCTGCAGCCTTCTTTGTTGGTAATACTCTTTCTGATTTTGAGTAATTATTTGACAGAAAGGATGATGATTAAAATACTTTTAAATATTTAAAATCTAATTGAATCTGACCCACCAATCCCCATCAATGTATAACAAAGCCCACCATTAAAATCACAAATTACCTAGAATCACAAAACCATAACCATTAAAGTTCATTTAATTTTATCATGGGGTAGGACTGCCTTTTTTCACAAGTTTACAGACCTTGGTTCATAAGCTCCAATGGGAATAGCTGCAAGGTCGAACGGTCCAAATCTTTTTCCTATCTCTTCAAATGCAGAGCAATAACCAGTATCTCCTGCAAAAAAAAATCGATTCCAAGGCCCCAGGACAGACCAGCTGCCCCACAGAACCTTGTTGTCATCCATCAGAGTCCTTTTACACCAGTGCTGGGACGGTGTGAAGACAAAGGTGACCTGATCGTGGCCGGGCACACAATTCTCCTCCCACCAGTCCAGCTCAATGACATTCTCACAGCCGCACCTCTGCATCCAGTCAAGGAGGCCCAGAGGCACAAACCACCTCAGCTCATTCCCAAAGCGCTCATTGAGAGCAATGACGGAGCTGTAGTCCAGGTGGTCATAGTGGTTGTGACTGATGAGGACAGCGTGGATTTGGGGGAGCTCGGCTACCGTGCACGGCGGAGGCCGGAACCGCTTCGGACCCAGGTACTGCGACGGAGAGGCCCGGGAGCTGAAGATGGGATCCGTGAGGAAGACGAGCTCATCCATCTCCACCATCAGCGTGGCATGGCCCAGCCACGTGACTCTCAAGCCTGCCTCCCGCACGCCGGCTTCTCCAGGGTCATCGATAAAATACGGTTTAAGCACTGGGAGTTCTTTGTCAAGTTCCTGAGTGTATAAACAGACAGACAAAGCTGCAGTTAGGGACAAAAGCTACTGGGCCATCACAGGACACATCGCCCTACATTAGAATGAGGGGGCTATTCTGGGAGAAGAGAAGTCATTCAATAAACCTGCTGTCTCGGCTTTCCTCTTGAAAACGCGAACTCCTTTCTGGATCTGACTTCATTATAATCATATTACGGAACTTTCCCTACTCCCAAATGCAACAGGCAGAGGGAACATGAAATGGAACACTCTGAATACTGCTGATTTATTAAGTTCTCTGAAGGTGCTCTTCTGAAGTGCCACGAGTCACCTGGCCCAGGTGCAGGCCACCCCTGGGACACAGACCCATGACCTGCAGTGCCTGGGTAGTGGATAAGCATCTGACTTTCAGAGTGAATAGGCAGAGCACTATCACGATTCTTGGGCAAATCACATTCATAACTAGTTCTTCTCATGCCTCACCCTTAAAAGGCTGGCGGCTGGCTGGGAAGAGGGCAGATGGGGAGAGGCTAGGGAAGGAAAGCTGAGAGGTCACTGGAACGCTTTGAATGTGTAGAAGGCTGGCCAGGGAAGGCAAGAGGCAGGACAGGCAGAGGATGAAAAAGATTTCCTAGCTGGAGATTTAGCTCAGTGGCATAAGCGCCTGCTTGGCAAGCACAAGTTTGTTAGTTCGATTCCTGGTACCAAAAAAAAAAAAAAAAAAAAAGATTTCCTTTACCCATGCCAAGCCTTAGTTTCCTCACCTGGAAAACTGGTATAATACCTGTACTTGCACTTTGCTGCTGGGAAAAGTGAATTAGGCAGTGGCTGGCACTCTATAAGCAGGCAAGCTCTACCCCCCCAACCAAGCACACATCAGGCTTATCCATCAATCTCATACTTCTGTACAAGCACTAAACTGTTGGGAGCCAGCGCTAGTTCACCATGCGCGGCGGTCATGCGGCCTGTAGGAAAAGGCAAAGCCTGAGCTAAATTACCCCTCCCATCGAGTGAGCCAAGTTGGCGCCTGCTTCCTGCCCCCTGATTGCCCTGGCGACTTAAACAGCCCGCGCAATAGATAGTCTGCCCAGCAACAACTGACGTTAGCCAATCAGCCCGCATCGCGCGCTTTGAACTGATTGGCCACTGTTACCCTATAAAAGTGAGTGCCTCTCCCGCCACGAGAGAGATAGAGGAAGTCCACCGGTAAGAAAGGACTGGTGGCAGAGCAGAGGCCTCGCGCGGCCCACGCGGAGACAAATAAAGACAAGGTTGCACACCATCAGAATTTGTCGTGTGTTCTTCCTGCCGGCCGGGAGCGACACCGACACTAAACTACTAAAGATCCTAAGTGACAGCTTTCTGTCATCTCGGTCCACACACAAGCCACAACTGTCCTCAGGAGCAGCCTGCTCGTGGTGGAGCTCCTTCCTGCTGAACGGTCCCCACCACCCGGTCACACCCATCCCACATCCTTGGCTCGGCACTATGCTGTCTGTGAACCGCCCTAACCTCGTCTCCAGCTGTTTCACGTGTGGGAGCCACTCTGACTGCTTCAAAACTCAGGGGCGTCTAAGCACACCTGGGGATGTGACCTTGCTTGTCTAATGCAAATGCACAGTGCAATGCAGTTAGGTACCATAACAGCACAGGTGAACTCGTGTGGGCTGGTCACGGCACTGTGTAAGAATGTAAACACACAGGATAACAATCTGTATAAGCATTATACAGTAGAGGGGCTGGGGATGTAGCTCAGTGGCTCAAGCACTTGCCTGGTAAGTACAAGGTCATGAGTTCAATCCCCAGTACCAAAAAAAAATGTAAAAGTAAAAAAAAAAAAAAAAAAGAATTACACAGTAGAGACGCAGCAGCCCCCTTGCCGTCTGCTGCTCTGCTCCACGCTGCCCGCTGTCCTCGCAGGTGTCTTACACTCGTGCCTTCGTTAACCTTGGGACCTTGCCTGTGAGCATCTCCCTCGGGCCCCCTGGGCAGCTGCCACACACTATTATTACAGGCACTGAGCTCCACCACACGGAAAGGCGTCCCGCTCCGGCTCCGGCTCCAGCTCCAGCACTGCTGCGCAGATCCTGCAGAGCGCTTGTCCTGCGCGGTCCTCCGCTCTCATCCCCCTGACACTGTAATCCAGTGGGACTCCCTACTGGGACAAGCCCCGTGTCTCCACACCAGCAGACGTGACTCCCGCCTCTCGATTCCTCGCCTCTCTGTCCACAAATCTGGATATTCGGGTTACATGTGAGGATTTAGCCCACGTCTTATGCAGCTGGGTGGGGGCAGAAGTTCAGTCTGAATTAACAGTCACACTTTTCCTCTTTCCCCTTTTTGTGCAGTATTGTTCCTACTCCCATCACTGCAGAGTAGCTTATTTTTAAGAATCTGATTTTTAGGATTACCATCCAATAATATTCAAAGAAACGGAATCACTGAATGAGATCCCAAAAGAAAAAAATCGTTTTTACTTTCTACCCTGTTCACCAGAATGTCTCAAGGGCCTCTCTTTTCACTAACCATGCCTATCTCCACAGCACATATGACACTGACTCACATTAGAAATAAACAGTGAAAAAGTCAACAGTGGAACCCGTGTTCTTGTTAATGTACTTGTGCTTTCACGAGTACATAACTGTGGGCTAATATGAGATTAAAAAAAGGAGTTGACTCAAACTGTTTAAAGTATGCTTTTTAAATCACTTTCAAAGAAGACTTTACCAAATCCTCTCCTTCTTTATAAGGTGACACTGTTATTGTCTTAGGAAACTTAAGACAGTCACAACTCAGATTTTTAAAATACAAAAATAAATATTTTTCTTTTTTCACATTCATTTTTAAGTTTATGTAAATAATGAACAGAGATTGTTTTGTTTCCAAAATATTACACCTCCAATTCACTTAATCACCAGTGGTAACATCTGACATTTTTGTCATGCAGTGTGTGGAATGAGAATGAGATCCATCCAAGTGGCTTTGTACTTTTTCTCTCCTGCTTTATTATGAGAATACACTTTGAAAGATATTTGGAAAATACATAAAAATATAAAGATAACAGTCATCCATGATACCAACATGTAGTAATTATAACCACTGCTAATACTGTGCTATAATTTTTATTCAATTCTATTTTACGCAAGACTAAGATCACAGCATATTCATATTTTCCAGTCTTATTTTTAAGTTTTATATTTCATGACCTTTTCACCTTTTACTACCAGTCTTTGAGACACATATGAAAGTGTTTCTAAAAGAAATGAGGGGCTGGGGATTTAGCCCAGCCGGCAAAAGCACCTGCCTTGCAAGCAGGCAGTAGTGAGTTCGATCCCTGGTACCAATAATGCCAAGCACCTTGAGATGCACAAGGCCCTGGGTTCAATCCTGAGCTCTATGAAACAAGATAAAGCACAGGAAAAAAGATTTCAAATGTACAGAAGACTGACTCAAGAGAACCAAACATAACTAATGTAGCTAACAGTCAATTCAGAATAAAAAGATTTCCTTTAGAAGGACATCTTCTAAAGAATAGACAAATTTCCAAAACCTAAAGAAAGCAGATTTCCAGAGTTGAAGGGTTCACTAGACACTGAGCACCATGCATCACAATGAAGTCCAGAACAGGGAGGCCAGAGATGCAATCCTCACAGTTTCTGGGAGAAAATAAAGGCCCTGTAAAAGGACCAAGAATACGAATGGCACTGGATTCCCCCACAGAAATACTAAAGGGAGGGCCACAGAGATAGTACGTTCCCATCTAAGCACAAACTAAAACTACACTCAACTATCAATCAAGAGTGAGAGTTAAGACTGCAGAGAGACAAGGTTCCAAAGCGCATGCTTGCCTGGACACTTTCTCGGGAAGCTCAGTGCTCCCCCTGGATGAGAAAATGTCCCGGTGGGAGATCACAGGCCACCATGGAAGAGCAGAAGGAGCCCGGCACGAGGGCGCCACACCCAGAACAGAAGCTGAGGGCTGTCACCAGGCCCCCGCCCAGTGCCAGAAGACTCCTGGACGCACTGCAAAGCCATGTGCGGCAGGCAGATAAAGGTCAAAAACGCCCAGAAAGCCAAGCAACTGAGAAAGATGTGTTTACTCACATCACAGGGAAAAAGGCACCTAAGAAGGCAGGCAGCCATAGTCTACGCTACTGGGCTCACCAATAAAAAACATCAACACAGACACAATAATGTCAACAGTGAAATCAGAAGGGTGAATGCAGCCGACAATACTGTAGCATATAATTCAAAATGGCTAGAGGAGAGGACTCTGAATGACGACTGTGTAGAGGACAGACAGCCTACATATCCCCAGCTGACTGACATACAATGTATAAAGGTACTGAACACCAGGCTGGACTCCGCAAAGATGTGTCAGATTCATCTGGTAACAAAAAATACAAGACAGGCATAGTGGTGACCATCTGGAGCCCCAGCTAGTCGGGAAGCTGAGGCATGAGGATCACTTGAGCCTATGAATTATGGATTTGAGATGAACAGCTTGGGTAACACACCAAATCCCCCTCTCTTAAAAAAAATCTATATAAAAAAAAAATATATATATATATGGAACAGAATAAAAGGAAATGTCACGTACAGCAAGAGTGTCAGAGGTGAGATAAATCAGGCAATCCAGATTAGAAGTTGGTGAATAATGCCCCAGAATGACCTATGTTGTTTTCCTCAGAAATACAAAGATAAATTCCAGAGCAAACAACTCAATGTGCTGAAAGCTGCTCCCTCTGGAGAGGGAAACTGGGCAGCAGGGGCCAGTTAGAGGAAAAGCTCTTCCTTATAAACCTTCCCATGCTATGTCTTGCTTAAAACCACCTATGTGTATTTTTTCCTGCTAAACATTAAAAAGCAACTTATAGTATATGATCGTATAAACTCATGTTTCATTTTTTTCAAAGAAAAACCTACTCTTTAATATCCCACAACTAAGGACGCACTGCATTTTCAAAGTACTTTCATGTGTTGTGTGAACCCCACTATAATCCTAGTGACTCAAACTGTATTATTCTCATTTTGTGGACAAAAAAAGAAAGATGAAGCCTGTGCTAGTGAGCTTTCCATCACTACATGATCTGAGAGAATTTATAAAGAGAAAAAGTGACAGTTTGGGGGCTTCCAGCCACAAGCACAGGGCCCCACTGCACGCGGGCCTGTGGCTGGTGTCCTAGGGTGGCAGGGAGTGGCGGCCAGGCCCTCACCTCACAGCCGGGAAGGGAAGCAGAGCAGGACAATGGCAGGGTCCCACCCGGGACAGGAGGCCTTCCAGAGGCTGCACCTCCCGACAGGCCCACCCTCCCGGTGGGGCTTCCAGGGATATTTAAGGGCCAAACCTACAGAACTCCTGGGGGATTCTCCTAAAAATAAGGTTACAGTCAGCGAAGAACGAGCCTCCTGAGCCCCGTGCCCTACTGCTCCCAGCTGGCCTTGCAGCGGCAGCCCGTGCTGTGTGTCTGCCACCTGCAGCCTGACTGCCCCGCACAGGGCCTGCCACAACAGCCACCCTGTGTGATGAGACCCAGGAAGTGCCTGCCTCCCACCAGCGCTGAACAACCATCACACTGGACCATTAGCAAGACCGTCAGGTAAGACCACCAAGCAGCATAACAGCGAAAGCAGGTGCCACCACAACAATGTGCAGCCTGAGACCCGCAAGAGACAAGCGTCAGCAGAGGCCCACCGTTAGCCGACAGGCAAGTGGACCATGTCTCCTGTGCAGGACGTACTTCTGCTTTATTTAGACCTGTCACTGAATCTGCAGTGCATTATGTTTCTCCCAAGACTCTTCGACACTGATTCACCTAAATACGCTATGGTACGGTACAAAGAGCATGAGCACCAGTCTCTCCTCCAACAGTCTGACGGTGTGGCGCAGTTACACAAGCTTCCCAGGGCCCCCAAAACAACATCCAACCTGGACTGGGTTCTGAGTTGACCTAACAACACGAAGCAGATGTTCATCACACAGTTCCTAACATGCTTCTTGTTTTTTATTTTGGAAAAGTAGAGCTCTATCACATTTGGGAATTAGTAAATGTTAATCATGTCAGCAATTTATTTTAAAGGCTAAAACAGAGAGCTGCAGTTGTCCCTAAGTAAAATGAAAGGTTAAAGTGCTTTTGATCTAGTTCTAGGCTTTTACTGAAAACGAGGAATATGAGATCAGAAATAAAATATGAATTGAAACAATGCAAAGGTGTCTTTTTTGCTTTCTTTTACATGATGCTGAATTTGTTTTTAAGCAATATGTTTGGAGATATCCACCTTGTCATTTTTAAAAGATCTTTTGCTTTAAAAAAAAAAGAGCCAAAGATATAGCTCAGCAGCATAGCACCTGCCTGACAGGCGTGAGGTCATGAGTTTGATTCCCAGTACAGAAAGAAAGAAAGAAAGAAAGAAAGAAAGAAAGAAAGAAAGAAAGAAAGAAAAAAAGCAAGCAAGCAAGCAAGCAAGCAAGCAAGCAGCTTACGTATGTATCATTACAGAAGACAGCCCACCTCTACCACTTCTCCTTATCTGCTCTATTATTCCCCACTGCACCTAACATGCTCTAATGTATCACACAACTTACTCACTTATTTTATCTCTCTGTTCCACTAAAACAAAGGTCCAGGCAGGCCTATGTCTGTAGCTCTCGTGTGTCATACAGTGTGCTCAGCACTCAGTAACTACTAGCTAAATAAATGAATGAGTGAATGGGCAGGCTTGAGAAGACCCATGAAAATACAACAAAAGGTAGTGACAGGTCAGTTTTCCCACAGCTGGGACAAAATCCCTGATACCAACAATTTAATACAGGACAGGTTTATTTTGGCTCATGGTTCCAGAGGTCACAGTCCATGGTCAGTGGAACACACACCCTACCCACACTGGCCATCTGCCCTGCCTACTTCCAACCTTGTTTCTCTTTATAAGAAAGTTCAGCAGAAGGAAAACACAGCAGCTTTCTCATTCCTTCATCCCTTCCTCAAAGCTGAAAATACATTTCATCTAATAATGTACTGCCTAAGATGCTTAAAAACATGTATCATTGGCTGGGGGGCAGACCAGTAGCAGGGAGCTTGCCTGGCATGTGCAGAGCTCTGGGTTCATTCCCAGCACTGCAGAGAGAAAAAGCATATGCATAAACAGATAGATATAGGTATCATAGTGATCAGTTCTAGTAACCAAGATTAACACGCCCACGGCAGGACTGTAATTCATGTCTCACTGTCGGGCAGCTCTGACCTGAACCATCATTTCCAGTGGCACATGCATGACTGTCTCAGAGGAGACTCGAACTACTGACAATATATGTGTGACAGTCTCTTAAGGCAGCTTACACTGCTTCTTAGGGGGTCTCTGATTACAGTAATCCATGAAAGGCATTGATTTAGCAGACCAGATGTCATAATATTATATTCCTTAAGGACACTAAAATGGTATTTTTAAAAAACTGCAATGCATGCTGGGTGTAATAGCACATACCTGTAATCCAAGCACTCAGGAGGCTGAGGCAGGAGGATTGCCATGAGTTCCAGGCCAGCCTTGGCTACACAGTGAACTTAAAGCCAACCTGAACTACATAAAGAGATCCTGTCTCAAAAAAAAAAAAAAAAAAAAACCCAAAACAACAACAACAAAAACCCTACAAAACACACAACAACAATAACAGCAAAAATTTTAGGGGCTAGGGATTTAGCCCAGTGGTGTAAGTGTCTGCCTGGCAAGCGCAAGGTCCTGAGTTCAATCCCCAGTACAAAAAAAAAATTTTTTTTTATTGAAGTAGAATACAATTTAATGCGTGTAGTGTTTAGTGGTGCTTCACTGACTTTGCAGGTCAGTCTGATCATCTATCAAGAGGACGGCAATATGCATTGTAGCACCTATGGGGAATCTGCTTCTGAGGGTGGTGGCCGCTGTTGATTCCCTATTGTCTTGTTTTGAAGTCCTATTCTCATTGTTCCGTTTGGCTGGGTTTTGTTTTGTTACAAAAACTAACTGTGACACAGCTAATTTGTGATACAGAAGCTATAAATGCATATTATACATACCAACAATGGCATGATTATAAGCTTCCCATGCTAAAATTTGTTTTAATTACTGATAAACTCATGAATATAAATTTCTTTTAATTTAATGAAATGTGTTGATTGGTGTATTATTTTTAATTGGTATGAATGGTATTAATATCAATGGGCAAATTATTCAAATTCAAACAAAATGCAAGTGATTTGAGCTGTTCGTACCACCAGTGGTAGGGCTCACCCTATAGGGCAGTCAGGCATGTACCCCATGGTGCAAGCTGGTAGGAATGTTTTAATACTGTGACGGCCCCTAGCATCAAATGACACCAGGGCTTAAATATCACCTTTTCAAGAAAAAAGCACATTTACCAAGGGAGAGGAGCTAAGCCCACACCCAACCTGCCTCTTCCCAGCCTTCACCCCAACCCTCCACTCACAGTCTTGCAAGCCTGGAGGGAAGGTGAGGCGGAGGAAGATGGTGGGGGCTCAGGGGAATCAACATAGCAGAAGATGCCATGTACCCGCCGGCTCCTGCCGAAGTCCATCTCATGAACGAATAATTTCATGCCAAATGTCAATAAATTTCATCCCAAGTAGAGCTAGAGCACCCAAAGGTCAGTAGCCCAGAGTCAAGTTCTCGAGATCTAGAGAGGTCCTCGAAGAGTTCTTTCAGAGCTCTGGCAGCTTTACCCAAGATTAAAAGCTGCAGCTACGCTGTGCTGTACCCCTCACAAGCCATATTCCAAGCGGGAGTCAGGTCACCACTTTCTGGAATGTGCCAGACACTGTGTCACCTGCATGACCTTACCCATGATGTCATCTACTGGAAACCTGTCAAACTACTAAGCCCAGTGCAGACAGCCCCTCTTTGGAGAAGCCCCATCCATTGCCGCCAGTCAGAATTAAGTACTTCCTTGCCTGTGCTGTGAAAACACACTGCGCCGACCTCAGGTTTGCAACACATCAGAGGGATGGTTGATATGTGCAAGCGCTGCAGCAGGAACCCACCCGAGGATTTGCACCTCACTCCTCCCTGTATCTCCCCAAAACCCACGTGACACCTCATCACAGAGAGGACACAACGCAACTCACAGCAGAGCAACTCACAGCAGAGCCGTGCCCTGCGAAAGCAGCATGCACACGCGAGCCCCGAGGGAGGAGTGTTACCTCTTTGCAACACGGCACGCTGCTGTGATCCTTCTCGGTGAGCAGCCACCGGAGCAGGCTGGAAATGGAAGGGCTCCTCCACGTGGGCCACGGGTTGACGAACCTCCCGTCCTTCCCCTTCTTGGACTTAGTGACGTCTTCCTCTAGTCTGTAATCCAGCTTGAAGCTTTTCTTGGACAACTTGGAAGAATCGCTTTCTGCAGAATCCCGTGCTGAATTTTGTCGTTTCCGCACTGCTTCTTTAGGATTTTGGTCACTTGGCATCAGAGACTCGTTACTTTCATTTTCATCCATTTTCTTTGGTGAAGAACTAAAAAAAAAAAAAAAAAGACAGAGGCAAGTTTAACATGAAAGTATTCAAACCTATCATGTAATATTTCTTGGCCAATAAGAATTTCCCCAACTTGCCAGGCAGGCGCTTATGCTGCTGAGCTAAATCCCCAGCCAAATTTCCCCAACTTAAAAAAAAACTACGTCTCTATTAACTCATACTTTCTTCCTGTAAAGAAGACTTTTAGCGCCTACCTAATTCTTCTAATTAGGAAAGGTTTAGCATTCTAGCTTTGGAATCTTCTGAAATTTCCCTCTCTACTGTAATCTAAAACAACACATCTTCCTAGCTAGCATTTAAACACAGGAAATTCTCTATTTCCATGACATTCTATAAATTAAAAGACCTTTATGAATCTGTAATCTTTTCATTCCTCCATTTTTAAGATATTACTGTTAATAATACACAGTAAGGATTCCTCTGGTTCCTCAAAGACACTTCAAGAATTCAGATGATTTATAGGTAACTCCACTGGGCTTTGATTTTTACAATGAAGATAATCTGCCACCAAAGCCCCTGGAAAGTGTAAGGAGTTCAAATCCCAAGGATGGAGACAACACATTAACTGAGAAACATTTCAATAATGTGGCAAATGATTCACAATACAATCCATATGAATTCAGATGCAAAACTGACAAGTGCGAGCCGTGTGGCTATGTGACTTTGGGCATATTTCCTACTGTGTCTTGTTTCCCTCAGCTGTAAACTGAAGACAAAGCCAGGTGTAGTGGCACATGCCTGTAATCCCAGCTAAGGCAGGAGGATCAGATTCCAAGACCAGACTGAGTAATTTAGCAAGACCTTGGCTCAAAATCAAAAATAAAGTAAGGGTGAGCTCAGTGCAAAGCCTCCCCACCAGGGTGGAAATCACCTGCCTTCACCGTTATTAACAATAAAGCAGCCGAGACAAAGCATTGGGAAACACAGTCACACACAGGCGTGCACACGCGCACACACACGCATGCACACACTGATAGCTCCATCAACATTAGCTGTACCCTCTGCCTCTGCCATTCCTGCTTCTCCCACCACCCACACTGCACAGTGTGTGTAAGACACTGCAATCTGCGATTGAGACCCTGGATTGTGAACCCTCAACTGTTAGAAACTTGTGTAGCCTGAGCAGGGGCTCTGGTGCCGCCTCAGCAGGGCAGGGCTTGGGACTGTGCTCCCGGCCTCGAGGGCTCCTAGCAACATTCATGGAAATAAATGTGAAGCTTGCAGTCACGGGCTTTGCCTTCAGTGAACAGCTCAGATTTATACTGCTACCCTTCACGTTTCACCCGGCTTCAGGGCTGTCTTCCCTAAGCAACCCCTACTGAATGATCTCCACTGTCTCCTGCGGCCTATGGAGTAGCCAGACCCCATCCAGTTAGCCAGCTCAGTGCAACCAGTCCCCAATGCTCCACCACCATCTCGTGCCTTCCTTGCCTTCTTGGGCGTACCCCCAAACCCCATGCTGACTTCAGCTGTGTGGTCAGGCTTCAAGTAAGGTGCTCTTTTTCCCTTTCTCCCTTATCCCAATTGTTTAAAACCATGAGCCAAAAATGCACTAATATATTGGGTAGGATAAAGATACATACATGTCTATACATGTGAATACACGGGCACACATCCACATGCATGCACACATGTACCAAACACATGTCTCATAAGCTGTCATTGCAGCAGGTGCCATGGGGTTACCTTTCTCATCTCTGACACATTCCTCTTGTGGGAATGTACCTTAAGCCCTCTAACCCTGTGTGTTTCTGTCAAACGAAGTGCAGTTTCATGGCTGTTCTCTGGCTCTGCCTTGGTCCATGTAGCCTGAACAGGGCTACAGCCTAGAGAAGTCCTGGGCCGGCAGCCAGCAGGCAGAATGGAGAAGGAGGACCTGGATCCCCTGAGGCTTCCACAGGGAGGCAAGGGTTTTCCCTACGGAGCGGGGTTAGGAAGGCTAAATTATCTGCTCGGCTACCTCCCGGCCCTGGCTTCTCCCACCAGGAGCGAGAGGTGAGGCACCACAGTGACATGAGGGCTGGGTACCTCCCGCAGTGTCTTCTCCTGACCACACCCTGCCTGCTCTAGAGTCAGGGGAAGAGTTTCAGTTCAGTGTATGCGCTCCTCCTAGGCTGTGCTCCTCCCCTTTGGCCCTGGGCAATAATTTCTACTGAACCTCCTCTGTAGCCATGAAAATAATATTTTGGCTTTGTATTAGTGTGCTTCTTACCTTAGGTTACAAAGTATGTCAGGTATCCACAATGCATTTACACCAACAAAATGTAAAGCAAATATTTGTTTAACAGACTAGGAAAGAAAAGAAATTCATAGCAGGTAAACTCATACGCAATGTATTATTTATCATGTTTGTGTGTCTGTGGTCCTGTATAGTTCATAACACAGGCCCAGCCTTTCTAATGTGCCGACAGGATTTCGTCTCAGTATGTTTCTCATGCTGGGCTCCAACAGCTAGGAATACAGGTGTACACCACCAAGCCCAGCTCAATTCCCATGTTGCAACTGAATCACTCAAAGTGGATGGCACCCTCGTCAAAAGATGATGGGGCAGTGACAGGAAGGGGGGGGGGGTAGAATACATGAGAGTGAATTATGCCATTAAGCCAGCAGATGAGATCATATTTAGACACCGAAAAATCTGGATGGGGTGGGAGGGGTAATAAAGTAGGAGGGGTCGGAAGTGGCCACGCCCACAGTCAGGGTGGATTTCTGCCCAGTGATTTGAGGGTGGGTCTGAGATCACCAGGAAGCAGAACCCAAGAGGATTCAACTCACTGACACCCCACAGAAATGGACACAAATAGGATCCAGGGTGAGAGCAACAATGAGAATCGGACAGTGAAAGGAGTGGAAAGTGGGTCCAGTGATCTCTTTTCTCCCTAGAAAACAAGTATTTTGAAACTGTCCTCTCTGGGCTACCTCCATGTTCTTACCTCCCACCTACCCAACTTGGGCTTTAGGGCTCTCTGCCAAACCACTACCCTCTCTGAACGCCTTCCACCTCCCCCTGCACAAACACACAAAGTTGTCCTCAGAAAGGATGTCTTCACGGGCAACCCTGATATGAACAACCACAAGAAGAAAGAAAGCCTTCCACGCGTCCCTTTATTTTGAGGCAAGGATCCAAAGATGGCTCAGAAGAGCAGGGTCCCCACATTCTCTGTGCTCCTTAGTCATCTATTCTACTGGACGCAGTGTGCTCCTATCTTGGAACCACTATGTTAGTGTGTGTAAGATGGGAAGAGGGGTGTGTGAAAATGGATAGTGACAGGCTTCTGCACTACTGTGAAAAACATCAAGTGACACACAATGATAGGACAAAGCACCACTTCCAGGAAGGAGTAAAGCGAGCAGCCTGCCCAACAGCCCTGGGCAGGTTCTTCTGGAGGAGCAGTAGGGTGACACGCTCAGGGACAAGCTCCGGCAGTGGGTGCTCCAGCAAGCATCTGGGGCCTGGCCCACAGAGACAGCGCCTGTGGGGCCGTCCCCTAGGAAGGCTCCCAGCAGTGCCAGCCTGCGGGGTCCTCGTGAGAGGACCCAGTGGCAATCGCATGAGGGGCATCTGTGTACAACAAAGCTAAAACGACCTGGAACCAAAATGAAGACCAGTCCCCCACTACCTTTGAGCTTTTCAGACTCAATCTGTTACACAAAGGACAACATAAATTCCACCCAGTAATTATCAAGCACATTTTCTGCATTTCTCTGGAGATTAACTGCCTACTTAACAGCTGAAAGACAACTCCTAGGCCTCTCACCAGAGAGAGGTCTGAGCTGTGACATTTGGTGTACACAAGTCAGCCAAGTACAAATATTTTATTTCAATAACTGTGCACGTGGGCAAAATGCTCCCCAAAACAAGAATTCTCTACTTCAAAAGCAAGTGTTTCACACTTCCTTTTTTTGACATTTAAGATTTGCCAAGTACTTACAATTGAAAAGTACGAACTCCCTTATCACTCAAACAGCTGAAGGGAAAAAGTTGCAATCGTACAACACCCAAACATGTTTGGGATTGCAGCACAGGCATAAATCATGAAGTAACAAATCAGTATTCCCAGAACAGACATTTAATAAATATTAATTGATTTACCATCACCATAAACATGCTGACAAAACAGAAAGTATCCAGACTGTATTTTCAGAATCTCTCCCTGAATAACCTTACATGTGTGCTTCTATATTTGTCTCCCTACCTTTACTGAAGAAAAGGAGCTTTGGGACTGTTGGGAGGGGGACACCGGGACTTGTTTTGTGCCCCAACCCGGGCTCAGCTAGGGCTCCTGGGCATAAGCAACCCTCCCCCCTCAGCCTCCCAGGCACTGAATAATGAAAGGGTGAATGTTCTGTGGGAGGTAGGAGCATAACACACGCCATCAGGAAAGCACAGCACTGTTTACCACTGAATTTCTTTTTTAACTCACTGTACTGACTTCGCCATTTCTGCTAAGAAGCTAAAGGAAAACGAAGCAAACAGAAGGCCTACTACACAGTGAACCAAAATTAGGATGCCTTTTTTTGGGAAGGGGGATTCTAGGGACTAAGCCCACAACCTAAGATACGTGCCCAGCCCTTTTTCCGGTGTTATTCTAAAACAGGATCTCAGCACTAAGCTGCTGAACTGTCCAGGCTGTTTTAATTTGTGATTCTTCTGCCTCAGCCACCCAGAGTGCCAGGATTACTGGCACACAAATGATAACTTTTAAAAATAAAAATGTCGGGGCTGGGGATTTAGCTCAGTGGCATAAGCGCCTGCCTTGCAAGCAGGCAGTCGTGAGTTCAATCCCCGGTACCGATAAAAAGGAAAAAGACCACAAAAAAAAAATTTAAATAAATAAAAATGTCCATGTGCATGCATAACACATACTTATGCACACATACACGTAAGTCCATATATCTCACCAATGTATTTTCACAAAAGTGAAAGAAACACTAGCTGAGAGACAAAAAAAGGACTCCATGTGCCAGTGGTGTTAGCA